GAGCTATAAACAGTCTACAAAAATCATATAACTTGTGCATATAACATAAGTTTATTATAATTACAACGCTACTCTTTCGCGCCAAAAATATATTATATTCAAAATGAGATTTAAAAAGTTGATCTTTCATTGTCATAATATGTGTAAAATAATTGTTGTCCGTTCTATTATAATTTTAATGTACTTTGTATGTATTTTATTTTAATGTATTTTAACTAACTTTCAATCTTTCGCATGAAATTTATTTTTATCACTAAAGATTATCAGCTTCAGACTGATATGCGATTTCTTTAGGATTTTAATAGATATATTTATTAATATTATTATAAATTTATTTACAAATTAATCCAAGATAAAACCAACTCCGACACTGTCCGATTTAATAACAAATTATTGTTGTTGCTAACGTTTCAAAGGTGTTTGTCATAGCATCGTGTGCTGGCTGCACATGGCATGCGAATCGTTTCAGGGGTATAGCAATATTCACAGCAATGTGTGAAGAGTTCTTGGCTCAAATGAGGCCGTTAGCACAACAGTGGCCTATACTACATTTTTTCATATTTGTGGTTCTACTATAATATTGCAATTTCTTTAAAACATAATAAATTTTGATTCAAAACCGGCCTATCCCTATTTCCGCCCATAGGTAGCAGATGGCTTTGTCAACATTATTTTTGCGCGTTTTGTTTTTGCCTATGAGGCAGTGTAAAAGTAAATTCAGACCTCATTGTCTCCATACTTACTATAGCTAAGCTCAGGTAAGCTTAGGCCACTTTTGCGCTGACGGCCTTAAATATGGTATGTAGTGTATGTACAATAATCATACTATATACTGAATGTTTTAGCTCTTTTTCCCACACGCTTAACCGTTTTTCATCGTTAGTATTTCTTTCATTCGGATTTTCACTATTCGCGGATTAAAAAAATGCGACCCAATTCCTATATTCGCGGCTTTAGATATTTATTTAATCGCGGATCTAATCAGTACATACCGATGTGTAAGCAAATTGATAAAAATTATCACACATATATGTAAAATTACAAAATTCTTTAAGCCATTGCCTAAGCCAGAAGATAAGTACTAATCAATATAGTCAAAACTTTAATTAAATTCATTTTTAATACATATATGTACTTTTTTTTTATTTTGTCAGAATAGGTTCCTCTATTCTTATAATGTCATATAATATGTAAATTACCATTACGGTTATTTATATTTATTCACGGTTCCTGTATTCGCGGCATATTTACGGAACACATACCCCGTAAATAAAGAGTTCTTACCGTATTCAAATGAACTACACTATAACACTACTGAGTACAAATATATTTCGTACTATTCATTGCGACTCACGTTAATTGAAACATAATCTTCTACAGTCGCATAGAATACGAACAAACAAACATGGTCACAAATATTAGTATCCATACACATATAAAACTGAAATACTACCCGAAAACGAAGTTTAGTAACGTCGGTCGATTTTGACATGATAATACATAGTAACAACTTCTTTTAATCTTTTTAGTATTTCTGACAACGTAAAATTTTATTCAATAAACTATTATAAAATATATTAGTAACGCCGCTGTTATGAAAGATTTAATTTAATTTAATTCAACTTGACATGAGACACCCTGTATTGGAACGCGCTAGCATTTGACATCTGTCAAAAAACAGCCCCGCGTTTTTCTCACTTCCTCTTCCTGCGGCGTCATTACATTTCGTTTGTCGTGTACACGATTAATTTTCAAATAAAGAAGTTTTGTGCGGACCATTTAGTTTGATTTGTTAACAGCCGCCGTGACCGTTACGCCGTTACTTATATAAAAACATCCATTTATTTAAACTACTCGCGCGCCAACCATTATCAATTAATGGTACTATTACAGAAACTTTCCTTACGGGGCCAACAACGATTGTATCAAGGTTAATTAGAATCGGCTGTATGGTTTAGGACGAACAGAGGACAATAATTTTCATATATAGATAGAATAGATGACGCTCGTTGCATTGCAAAATAATACATCGAGTCAGATAGATAGATATGGCGAATTGTAGATGGGTTTATCGGGGGATTTAAAAGTACTGAGATAAAATAGGAGAGTTTTCTATAGGCTTGCCTTAGTTTAGTCCAAAGCCGAACGGTACCGTCAGCAAAAAAAATCTGGAAATGAATTGTTGAATGCGGAGCGCAGTGCTTCCAGGTACAATGGAGTGGATGAGTTCAACTATATTCCTCACTAATTAGTAGTTAATTAGTGCTAACAGTAACTAATTCGTGTATTTGAATTAAGCTAATTAAACAAACGCATTAGTGATCACGACTAAAATTTAAAACAACATTATAAAATATAAAACGCAAGTTATAAAATTTCGATATTTTTTTTTTCGGGTTTTTTTAATTTCGTTATTTTATACGTTACGTAATTCAAATGCATTATCAAAGACGTATAAAATTCGTATTTATTTTTTTGCAAGACGATTCTAAGAATTTTTTGTTTGTAGAAAAGGAGAAACCCCATTCTGGGCCTAAGCGTTACAAGAATGGGATATGTAGCAAAAAATTCGTCTATTTTGCTTGATTAACCTATTGAAATCTTAGCTTCATTGACAATGGCCAAGTGTAGAAAATAAGTTGAATTCAATTTTTTGTTTTAAACAATCTTTGTAAACATCTGCAACACTTATTTCAATATACGTAACTAGCTCCACAAACGTGCGGATTAGAATTAGAGCATCCATAAAATAGGATCGATTTAGTGGAAATCGAGTGTAAAAAATAATTAATACTCTTTTGCTTTAGTCTAAATGACTGTTTTTATAGGTATTTTAATCAATGTAAATAGAGTATGGCCATCGAATCGTGACACAACTACTTACAATGGCGGCAATTCAAACAATTCAATATCTACAACTGACAACATTAAATATAGCATGAAAGGGTAGTTTTGCAATTTTTTTATATTAATGTGACTATGCCATAGAAAAACACAAATGTATCAAATCGTGTTATGTTATCTTTAATGTTGCCAACTGAAGATATTTTGGATTGCCGTTATTTAGTTGTGCCATGATTCGCTGGCCAGACTATAAACTTAATCTCATTGAATAACGTAACGTAAAGCACCAAAATCTACTAACAAAAATCATTAAAAGAAATAAATAACTGTGCCATTAGTTATGACACAAAATCATGTCGGCAACTGCGGCAATTCAAAATATTTTCAACTGGCAATCTTAAATATAACATGAAAAAGTCGATTTGGTACTTTGAGTTTTTCTATGGTGTAGTTACATTAATAATTTTACTGGTGGTAGGATCTCTTGTGAGTCCGCGCCTCCCACCCGCCTATTTCTGCCGTAAAGCAGTAATGCGTTTCGGTTTGAAGGGCGGGGCAGCCGTTGTAACTATACTGAGACCTTAGAACTTATATCTCAAGGTGGGTGGCGCATTTACGTCGATGTCTATGGGCTCCAGTAACCACTTAACATCAGGTGGGCTGTGAGCTCGTCCACCCATCTAAGCAATAAAAAATAAAAATAAAAAAGGCATGAAATAAAATGAAATGAAATGTGATGAGATAATATGGGAGCACGTAATGATTTATATTTTATATAAAAAAGTTATCATATAAATATAGTTTTTCATATAAAAAGTTTTCATTAAAATTAAAATAACACTGACCTAAAGGTCTTATTACCAGGTCATAAAATCCCTTAAAAAAATTATTTCGTGCGCAGCGCGTTTCGCATTACGTAGTTTTTAATTTTTGGCTTTCGTTCGTTTTCGTAAACAACCTAACGCGTGATTTCTCGTAACAAGTTCCATTTTTATTTTCAAGCAACCTGTTGCTGCAACATGTTTCGTAAAAAATTACTCATCTTTAGTAGGAAACAGCCTCAAAAATATCTTTTTTTATTAAAATATCTCGAACAATAAACATAACCTAAAATAATTTTATTTGTCTAATTTTACCAATTTGGCCATTGCTGGGAGACCTTAAAATTGGGCTCATGAAACCTTCTTAGGTATTGTAACTTATGCCCAAATTCTAGCACTGTAACGCCAGGCCCAAGTTTGTATGGATTTCGGGTTTGTCCTTTCAACATTGATGACTTAGTAGTTAGTGGCTAACTTCTGATTACCGTTGTTTTTATTTCAGACGACGGATTTTGTTTTGTTTGATGATCACAGAACACATAATAAGTAACGATAACGAGACATAAATGACAATAAAAGTTCACCAGGAAAGCGACTTGAAAGAGTAACAACTCACACGGATACATAAACAAATAGTACAACATATAGAACGAACAAAACCGACATAACAGAATTTTTTTTTTACCGTTTATTTTAATGTGTTACAGTGCGAATCACAAACATAATATGATTGTCCTGCATGAAATTTAGATGAATATATTTAGTTCCATTCGTAATAGTCATTCGTGTTGACCTTCGGTTCCTCTTCAGAGGATGACAATTAAAAAAAAGACCAATAATAAAATGGTCAGCACCGTAAAAATATTTGTCACTATTGTAAATCGTACTGTAACCCAACTGAAATTTTGTATATAGTATACTACCTGGTACAAACTGTTTATTTTATCTGATATATTTTGAATACTATAGTATATATATACTACGGTATGTGTTCCGTAAATATTTTGTATATATATCGCTGAATGAAAAGCTGTTTGGTTTAATCGAAATTATTGCAACTTTACAGGAGAGCCATTTAAGAGGTTTCAAATTTGGAAAAAATATCATTACAAAAAAGAAGTTTAATTAAAAACATTATACTGTTGATACTAATATCATAGAAAACGCACCCTTAATTACAAAGATAAATTTCGCGTATGAAGCGAAATTTCGCTTAAACCATATAGCCTTTTAACCCTCTATATATAAACAAAACAGGTATCCTTTGTACACAACTAGTATACTAGTATACTTGCACTACACTATTTGCTATAAACGATTGTAAATCGTACTGACCTGTGGCGGCGGCTGCTTCGGCGCCTTCCTCGTTGACTTCAATGAAGGCTTTTTGCACAGCCTTGGATACGTACAGCGGCTCGTCGTTATCCAAGATCTTGGTCAGACCGGAATTCTGGCGGTTGAAGATCGCCTGAATACCCAACTGAAATTAAACGTTTTTTTTATTAATTATACTGCCGGGTCGGCAGACTTCGTAGTGCCTCAATCGATAAATAAAAGACTTAAGCTTTTGTAACTTGAAACAAACAAAAGGAATCCGTCCGACGGGGGACACATCAAAGGAAAAACTAAATTGTTATTTTTATTTAATTCCGAGCATTTTCATATTTATCTACCTTTTAAATCTTCTCTGGACTTCCACAAATAATTCAAGACCAAAATTTGCCAAATCGGTCCAGACGTTCCCGAGTTTTAGCGAGGCTAACGAACAGCAATTTATTTTTATATATATAGATTGATAATTTAATACGATGACAACCATGAAGGCGCGTGAGCCCTATGTCTTTTGTGGGCACGTTAAATTTTAAATCTATTTTCGAAATCTCTTAAAACTATATTTAATCCAGGCTTATCTCATTATAAACAAATTGCATATTCAAACAGATTGATCCCTTGTACTTTTTAATATATAAAAGAAAAACGTATTAAACACCATGCTGTATCTAAGACATTACCAACACAACATTTATACATATGTATTTTATAGTACTTCTGAATGTGTTACTGTGCTCCTCCTAAAAGCCTGGACTGATCTTGCTAACATTTTTTTGTGACGCTAAAATCTGCTTCTAGTTTATTATTTCTTTTAATTTACTTTCAGGCAACCTTTCGTTCACGCAGGCACGTATAAATTGAAGGTTTTTTTTTATGATTGAAGGATTACTGGTGGCCCGGAGCAAAGGCTCAGCCAAGAGGGGTTGGATGTGAAAACAGCCACCCGAGCGAGCGCCTCCAAAAAATTGAAGGTACCTTTCATATTACCTTGGGCAAAACTTGAAGTAGATCAATCTCAGTTTCGATCTTGAATTTCGGCACCGTCACTCGCACTTTGGTCGAGAACATTTTGTCCAGTTCCGAAGTTAGGTCGTAGCCATCGGCCAGCTTCTGCAGTATCCCGTCAAGGCCATTAATTTCGTTCGGCAGCACGATAACCATGCTGGCATCGTTACCTTCATACGCCATTTCAAGTAACTGAAAAATAAATTTACAAATTATTTAATATATATATTATTATTATTTTTTTCTCACGGCCCAACTGGTGTTAAGTGGTTACCGTAGCCCATAGACATCTAGAATGTAAATGCCTACACCCACCTTTAAATATAAGTTTTAAGGTCTCAGCATAGTTACGACGGCTGCCCCACCCTTCAAATCGAAACGTATTACTGCTTCACGGCAGAAACAGGCGAGGTGGTGGTACCTAACCGTGCGGACTCACAAGAGGTCCTACCACCAGTAATTACGCAAATTATAACTTTGCGGGTTTGATTTTTATTACACGATGATATTCATCGTCGAAGTCAATCGTGAAAATTTGTTAGGTACGTATTTCATTAGAAAAATTGGTACTTGCCAGCGGGATTCGAACACCGGTGCATCGCTAGATACGAATGCACCGAACGTCTCATCCTTTAGGCCACGACGACGAAAAATTATATGTCTTTGGGTAACGCGAGTCGTAGACAATAACTAAAGCTGCTCGCGTTTTATTAATGTCATTATATCGACTGGCGAAAGGCTGTTTGATTTGAGCAACATTTTTGCAAATGTAAAGTTGAGTCATTTAAAGTTTAAAAGTTTGGAAAAAAATATCATAACAAAAAAACTTCTTCAGCTCTTTGAGCGGAGTAAACCTAAATGAAGTTAAATTAAAAACATCGAACTGTTGATGCCAAATAAAATGCACCTTTAATTACAAAGATAAATGTTGCGCTTTAAGCGAAATTTCGCTTCAACCCGATAGCCTTTCACCTCGCGATATTATTTTCTTACATTTCGAATACTTCACATTTTTCGTGGTCACAGATAATCTATAATATTATTCTATTCGATTTGCGCATTACCTAATCGTACTAAATTTTGTATACATATGCAGATAGGATTAATATGCTCGGTAGGCAGCGGCTTGGCTCTGCCCCTGGCATTGCTGAAGTCCATGGGCGACGGTAACCACTCACCATCAGGTGGGCCGTACGCTCGTCTGCACACAAGGGCAATAAAAAAAAAAACGAAAAAAAAACCAGATATTCTTAATACCTACTATTTCCTAAGGCTTTCTCTAGTAATTGACATGATTCGTATGGAACCGAGCAAAGCTTATTTAATTAATAGATATAAATTATTCTCCTTCAAAAACATTTAACATACAACAATAGCTACATACAACAGTAACTATACTGAGACCTTAGAACACATATCTCAAGGTGGGTGGCGGCATTTACATTGTAGATGTCTATGGGCTCCGGTAACCACTTAACACCAGGTGGGCTGTGAGCTCGTCCAACAACCTATGCAAAAAAGAACAATATCTCGCAATGTACGGGAAAGTTAAAAAGTGAGAGTTTCACATTTTCAATGATAATTGGGTATGTCCCATTATTATTCAGCACGCATTCCAATAGTTATGGCTACGTGCCTATAATCCACTAGTGAAGATACTCTGATATATATTTTCTTTCTTCTTTCGAAGTACCTAATACCTAATACTTAATATATATATATTTTTTTTATTGCTTAGATGGTTGGACGAGCTCACAGCCCACCTGGTGTTAAGTGGTTACTGGAGCCCATAGACATCCACAACGTAAATGCGCCACCCACCTTGAGATACAAGTTCTAAGGTCTCATGTATAGTTACAACGGCTGCCCCACCCTTCAAACCGAAACGCATTACTGCTTTACGGCAGAAATAGGCAGGGTAGTGGTACCCATCCGCGCGGACTCACAAGAGGTCCTACCACCAGTAAAAACCAGTAATATGGTAGGGTCTAGATTATTTAGGTGTTGAAGCATCTCTCACGGATAGATACTACGATGCCTATTATTGGCGCGTACTAATCAAGCATCCAGTCTGAACGACAGAGCAGTAATTGTAGCCAATACAAACGAAACTTAAAACTCATGTCCAAGGTGACGGCGGCCTCCAAGTTTTATGGACATCTGCAATAACCACTTAACACCGCGGTTTACTTTGTGTGCTTAGTGCGAGTTTTTTAACGTTCTCGATAGCGTAAAAGTTAACTCAAATTTGTATGGAGTTAGAGCAGCGCCCCTAGTGACAAACGTAGGCAAACGTTTCAACTCCATACAAAATTGATTTAACTTTTATACTATCGAGAACGTTAAAAAAGTCGGACTAAGCACACTAAGCTCATTGATCCGTCTAATGAAACGAACAAAAACAACCCAAAAAGTCATAACTTAATCGATCACACAGTTATCAACGATTTTTTTTTGTTATTGCTTTGATGAGTGGACGAGCTCACAGCCTACCTGGTGTTAAGTGGTTACTGAAGCCCATAGACATATACGACGTAAATATACGCCACCCACCTTGAAATATAAGTTCTAAGGTCTCAAGTATAGTTAGAACGGCTGCCCCACCCACCCTTGAAATAGGCAAGGCGGTGGTGTTTACCCACGCGGTCTCAAAAGAGGTCCTACCACCAGTACAGATATTTAAAAACATTAAGAAGTTGGGGTCGCGTTCAGTACCAATAACTTTGAGGCAGTTAAGACGCTAGCGAAGATTAATTATTCAAGCGGCGATCGTTACCTACAAATTAACGTGAAATATTAAATATAATATAAAAAATTAACGTGATATGTTTTTGTTTAAATTAAGAATCAACAAGGCCTCAGAAATTTAGGGTGGCGTGGTTCAATTTCAAACAAACAAGGAGCCGAATGAATATTTTAGGAACACGAAAAACTGATGAAACATACCACATGGATAAACAAACTACTCGATGAATATAGATTCGGGAAATTCCAATGACGTAACGTGCAATACATTTTGTGTTTGCATTTTATAATTCGTGATATTACGAGTCATAAGGTCAGATATTCTTATGCCGGACACTCACATGCGCGCAAATATTCGTACATTGTAGGAATGTTTGCGCGCATATGAAGGGCCGTCAAACATTCATTCGCAAACTTAGCGGCTGTGCAAATGGGTTCGATACTCAATTTGCGAACCCGTTTGCGCTTCCTCCTACACTTGTTTACGAATGTCTCACGAATTTCTCCTCCTTTTTAATTCGTCAATAGAACATTGAAGAGAAAGAGTTTTTAATTCTTTCCCAGACATCATTAACAGCCATGCTGTTTTTATGGGATTTCTTTTGATGAAGATACGCTAAACAGTAGACGTCACGAACTATGAAAATAGCGAAACGTCCGTTGCCTTCGCAATCCTGGGCGCAACTGGTCACACAAATGTGTGGGAGACTACGCGAAGGACCGCGGTTCGCGCGCTTTGATGTCTGTTAAAAAACCGACACAGCTTGGAAAACCACGAATGCAGCGAAAACTTTGCATAATCATTTGCAAATGTCGTCCTATACTTGCGGGTTTGCGTATTCGTGCGAATGTGAGTGACCGGTATTATATTCATCGATTTAACACAAACAAACGTCTACTGAATTGTAGACTTATAGAATAAGATCTATTTCAGAAAATATCATGAAAATAATAGTCAAGAGAACGATATCTGAACTTTTTAAATCCGTACCTGCGCATTGAGGTCGTGGCTCTCACCATACTTGAAATTATTTTCTTGGTACATCATAGGAATATTAACTGTCGTTTCGGTGTCAACATAGAACGGTCGCTCCATGGTGCTTATAGAGTCGAACTGGTTTTGCCATGTACCCTGCGAAATAAGTTTATCAATTAATTATTGAAGTGAAAACTTCTTTAGAATCGTTGTGATTTCAAACCGAATGCAACGAAAAAAACGACAGGTAAGAGACACAAATACAAAAATGTGTAGGATGAAGCCAGCAAAGAATGAGACAGAAATATACATACTATTTAATACAGCGCCATCTGTGAGATTTTTTAATACTAACGTGTGTATGAAAGCTCTTGTAGTGAATTTTAATTTTGGATTATACGTGAAATTAAAATATCATTTCACAGAGGGCGCTACCTTACAATTATTTACTAATGACAAAATTTTACATATACTTAAGACGTTTAGGATAATTGTATTTTAATTTTGGAAAATTCACTTCTACCACGTGTGAATTGCACACATTTTGTTTTTTATTAAAATCTGCCTTCACCTAAAAACATCACGCTGTATAGTCGTAATTGTAAACTTACCTTGAAGTAGAGAGCGTTGACCAAAACCAAACGCGTATACGAATCGAGGCTGTCTTCACTCAAGAGATCTTTAATACGTTCATTTGTTTTATTTTCAACCTGCAAATCGAACGCCCTAATTTAATCATACACTCATATGCCCACATTCCAATCGCGTTAATACCGATAAAGTATTAGTAATCGTTACCACATAACGATAGATAAATTAAAAACACAGTATCTGTTAATTTATAATTATTTATATAAATGAGGCCGTCAGCGTAAAAGTGATCTAAGCTTACCAAAGTTAGTATGCAGATAATGAGGTATGAATTTACATTTACATACATCGTAGCGCAAAAATAATGTTTACAAAGCCATCTGTTATCTATTTGTGAAACTAGGGATAAAACGTTTTTGCATCAAAATTTATTATGTTTTAAATAAATTGCAATAAATAAGCACGAATATGGGCAATTGTGGGTTAGGCCACTTTTACGCTGACGGCCTCAAACAGAATTAATGCTTACCCATTTGTTTATTAGGCCGGCGGCTGCGGCTCCGTTATCGAAGTTAACTTTTTCAAAATCTGCATCGAATACCTCGACAGCGTCCTTCTTAAGTTTTGGGTCGAGCTCATAGTCACCCTCCTTGATGTATATTTTGTTGGCTACATTAAACGTAACACCTTTTATTGATTTCAATTTTGACGACACAGCCGAGAATGATGAGCGAATCTGAAAGAGGGATACTTTTAAAAAAATGACAATCGGCTCCGGTATGCGCTTAACTCTAAGTGTCTCTAAGTAAGCCGTGATCTCGTTCAACTATCAATGCCATAATAATCTTAAAAAACTTTTGAGACAAAATCTCAATTGAGTTGTATAACGATTGTGGTACCCTTCGCACCGCAACGCGCGACTGCTTCGCGGTAGAAATAGACGGGACATAATCATAAATATATTATTTGTTCCTAATTTATTAGTACTAGTGGTCGCCCGGTAGTCGAAATTCGACTATAATTAATTGAAATTATAAGTTTGTACACTATTAAGATTCTATTTTCAAAGACTATTATACTTCTATAATCATAAATTTCGCTAAGACTACACTATAGAAAAATATTAATAAAGACAAACAATATTTAATCTATTCTCAATTTGACAACAGACGTCAAGAACAAAAGTTTAACAATAAATAAATAGTATGAATGCGTGTGTGCGTCAAATACATGGTAGTGTGTGTAATGTTTTCTTTATTGATTTAATGTATATTTTATGCATTATCTTAAAAAAAATATTAGCATTGTGCAATCCTTCTCTATATTCTCTATCAGTGTGAGAAATTTCATACTCCTCCGTTCGCGCAATTTTCGTCAAAAGGGATACAAAGTTTTTGCTTCACGTATTAATATATAGATTCATTTTTTAGTCGTCGTGGCCTAAAGGATAAGACGTCCGAAACATTCGTGTCAAGCGATGCAACGATGTTCGAGTCCGGTAGGTGGGTACCAATTTTTGTAATGAAATACGTACTTAACAAATGTTCACAATTGACTTCCACGGTGAAGGAATAACATCGTGTAATTAAAATCAAACCCGCAAAGTTATAATTTGCGTATTTACTGGTGGTAGGACCCCTTGTGAGTCCGCATGGATAGGTTCCACCACCCTGCCTGTTTCAGCCGTGAAGCAGTAATACGTTTGAAGGAGAGGCAGCCGTTGTAACTATACTGAGACCATAGAACTCATATCTCAAGGTGGGAGGACGGCATTTACGTTATAGCTGTCTATGAGCTCCGGTAACCACTTAACACCAGGTGGGTTGTGAGATCGTCCACCCACCTATGCAATAAAAAAAATACATAAATAAATAAGTAATTGCATCAATACTTATATTTGTCAAAATACTTTTGAGCGCTACTGTATGTGTTTCAATGAACAATAATCATAAATGTATGTGTACATAAATAACGTATACACTACTTTTGGTTTTTGTAAAATTATTTAAACACATTAGTGGGTGGTTAGTTAGCATTCAATGTTCGTCATTCGAAATCATATATATGCCACGTCATTATATCGATTGCCTATTTGACTATAGTTCGCTGTAAACGGCATGTATTGGTAAACAATTGTTTGAACAAAATTTTATAGGAACTAAAGAGGGTTCAAGGTCGGCTTCACTGAATGAAACAATTATGGATAATCTAACTGTAACATCGACAACAAAAATCAATGCGGTGTCTGTAAAATATTTTTTATTTATTTAATTGAAACGCGGGAAACGGGATTTAAGGTAAAAAAAGGGGATGATTTGCATTGTCGTTACTATAAGTCTATTCATTAAATATAAATAAACACTAGCAAGTGGGCTAGCGGTGAACACCAAAAAGGTAATTGCAATATTGTCTGACGTGACTCCCCTCAACGAAAAAAACGTTTACATTTATTTAGCTTTTTATCAAATAGGGAAACACTAATAATAGGTTCTTAATCCTAACCAGAAAAAAAAATGCGTGCTAAATATATTAATGACTGTTTACTTCTTTATGTCATTCTATTCATACCTGGTAAATCCTGAGCTCACCTGCCAAACATTTAATTTCTACGTCACAATGGAATTAGTTTGATTTAAATTTTTGTTCTGGGTCTGGGTCTAAAAATCGATTTTTCGAGACTGATGGTCAGGTGGCGTGCGATATTTGCGGTCTCGCCTTGACGCATAAGATACTCACGAGCCGCCCCAATTGTGGATTGAATATTTTTAGCTTTTTTACCTTTTTTTTAAAGCTGGGGAATCTCCTTACGGATATCCGGTCGAGAGGTTTTTTTATTATTATTTTTTGCAGATTTTTTTACCTACCGTGTCATCATCCGGGATACCTAGGCTTGTCAATAGCTCTTCGTGTGCGGGATCAGTAGTTCCCAAAGTTATCAACGCCAGCAAGTATTCTGCTGACAATGGCGAAGATACAACATTCTTCTTTTTATCCAGTTCCTAGAGAAAGCATTATATAAATAACAATTAGACATTCAGAATTCAATTAAGTAAAATAGTCATTACTTTTCTACATGGTAATGCTAAATGTTTTAGAGAAAGAGTTGTTGAATGTTTATGTTGAGTCAAACCCTCATCATATTGATATAAAATAATCATTGTGCAAGAAATGTTTAGTATGAAGAATCTAAAAAGTAATACTTATTGAAAAAATATGTTTAAAAGTAAAAGATGATTAATTTTTTTCCTTGTATTTATTATCATTCAAAAGTAATCAGCTCACAATAATCTAATCTTTTTAATGAATTATATATCAGTTTTGATTATAAACATTTACATTCGTATAAAAAATGTATTGATTCACTGGATCGCAAAACCGTAAACTATAATAATTCAACTTTGTACTTAGTATTACTTTATCTTATGTGTTCTAGTAGGTTACAAACAAAAAGATAAGGCACAACAATATAATTGCCGTACTTATTATGGCACCATTTATGTGTTATCATTGATCTACAGTAAATAGCAGTCAATATATTATTAAATAATTGAGAAGGCCTATAGCACCTTTCAATTTGCATACTACAAGTTTTTTACTTGTGTTAAAAGTGGTTTTTAAGAATGCATGCATTTACTATTACAAATACATCAAAATTAAAATTTGGGCAAGTTAACGGAACAGCTTAACGGAAACACATTTTGTGAAAATTCTTTTAAAAACATTTATTAACTAATATACGTAGCGCAAGTATTTTAGGAACATGTACACATTAATTTATTGTATGCTATCAGTCAATATTAGTCTTGCCTATTGTACCTATTTCAGTCAAAAAAAAAAAAAATGTTTTCTGTCTTATGGAGTGAGATAACATTAGTTATATCTTAAGATGGGCAGAGACATTAACAATTAACAACTGCCACTTATTAACTTTGAGTGCTATGCTGTGAGTCACCTATCCAACTACTTTAGTACAAAAATCCTAATTACTATATTATACTATATTAATAAAAATTTCAAATAATAGGTCAATATTTGTTTAAACTAAAATGTCTAAAATTTACATCTGAAGACAAGTACTTACATTGCAAAACTTTGCAGAGAACTTGGTGATTGCAGAGGATAAAGCCTTTGAATCCATACTGAGAACAGGGTTCTTTATTTCCAATAGTGTAAATAGTATTACTGTAAAAATAAACTAAAATTTTTATTTGGATTTTCAATTTTTCTGTACGTTCAAAAAACAGTGTTACTCAGTAGAATCGATATTACGTTATGACATCATTGCGCCGGGCGGCAATCGTTTTTATCAAGAATGTATTGTATAGTGAATCATACTCTTATTTTTAAAGTGGGGGCGGATGAAGGTCAAACATTTGGTCATACATATTAAGCGGCCAGAAATATGCTTGTAGATTGAACAACATTGCACATTTTTCCGAACAAATTTAATAGTATGCGAAATGACCATCTCATGACATTAAAGATAAGACTTTCCTCGGTAAAATTTGATGTTACTCACACAAAACTCTGGCAAATATCATCGATAATAATTAATCCTTTAGTCTATTATGATTCATCAATTATTTTCACTTCAACTGAGGAAAATAAATTTCTATCACCACCGGTACCATCGAAGTCGTAGTACTTACTTATCACAACAAATTATTATCTTATCAATGATTGTCACAACTATGAATACCCATAAAACGGGTGATTTAAAAATAGTTTTCTCAATATAACACCTTTTTTTACAATTAATTGTGAAAATTCCTTTATTATATAAATAAGAAAATATGTAAGTGGGGTGTAAACTTTATTTTCAAACAAACTTTTGTCTGCATTAGTAAACATGTTATTTTTGTTTATTTCGCGTATTTTAGAGGCAAAGGGAACATAAACTATACGGCTAAATCATAAGAAGATAAATAATTTTAAAATGAAATTAATAAAACTTTTTAGCGGGAAACGCTATTATTTATTTATTGCAATGATTTTATTCATTTAGTGTTTATTCCGATTTAAAGGTGCAATAATGGTGGTTTATTTAAAGGGTGGTTAAATCAATTAACCATTGGGTTATTTTATCTATTTTGATTAGTTCCTTCTAAATCCCAGTTAAATTTTGTCACTTAACCGTGCCGTTCGAGTGAATTTCCAATCTCTGAAAGTTTGTAGGTTCTCTTTTTTAAAAGTGCTTAAACTTTCTCCGATTGACTTGAAACTGTAAAATTGTGGTTGTAATTCAAGGAAATTTCTTTTCATAGCGCTATTAACGTAAGACAGGTATCACGCAAATATTTTGATAAATGTATAGCTACTTTAAATTAAATATTTAGAAAAAGCAATAGCGCAATATGGCCGAGTTTCACTTGCAGGTAAATTTATGATACAATTAATAATATTTCCAATAATTAAACTTTTTGCTTCTTATTGCCAAAAATTGTATTATGTGATTACCGTGACACATTAGACGTCACATTACAACTTCCGGCCAGTTGTGCATTCACGGCGAAAAAGCAGAGGAGGATGGACTCATGACTGGTTTTTGTTTTTAAATCAACGTATATTGGCTCTAATTGTATATTTTAAATAAAACTCTATAAAGATTCAGCGTCTAAAAATATTGATTAAACAACTTTAGGATAGTCTGCCTGCCTGTAAACAAAACCGGCAAATATTTTGGGAATTTTATAAGTATCTAATCTAATATATAAAATTCTCGTGTCACGGTGTGCGTGATTGAACTCCTCCGAAACGGCTCGACCGATTTTTGTGAATCTTAGCGTGCATATCGGCCAGGGTGGAGAATCGAACAACATCTATTTTTCATGCCCCTAAATGTTAAGGGTGGTCCACTTCTAAATTTAGTTTTTTATTTTTTACACAATTTTTTTTGTTTTTATTTTTTTATGATACAGCATACAAAAATACATACAACCCTAAATTTTCACCCCTCTACGATCAACCCCTGTTTTTTATTTGTTAATTATAAACTTTAATTTTTTTGGCAAGAATTTTTCATGACTTAATATAAAAAAAAAATCATGTTACTCTCAATTTTCACTCTTATATGATCAACCCCTATTTTTCCATCCCGATTTTTTTATTTTTTATTCTATGCACAAATCCGCAATAAGATGCAAGATGTCAATCAAATATTATAATTGTAGTACGATAAATTCTTATTCAGAGTTTATAATTTCAAGTTCCTTTGATTATGATTTTTTTTTAAATTCGATTTGATCTCCCGCCCTCGCCGGTCGAATTCTGGATCAACTATCAATCAATCAGTTATCTCCGCCAGGTGCACCAGTCATCCAACAAACATCACGTAGTAGGGATGAGGACGAAGCCGGTCTCCTGTCTTACTCACTATACATTTTTCAGTCATGTTTTTTTGGTATTATTTGTGTATCAATCGTAGCTTGCCAGCCATGTTTTTTGGTTTTATTTGTGTATCAATAGTATGTTCAGTAGGTCTGAGAATCGGCTACTATCTATTTTTCATACCCCTAGTTATAAGGGTTGTCCACCCCAAACATTTTTATATTTTTTTTATTTTTTGGATGTATATTTTTTTGTTTATAATGAGGTATTATGTGGTTTTATGAGGTTTTTTTTTCTGCACTAGAATTTACCTAGAAATCTTATTTAAGGCAACAAACACAACGTTTGCCGGGTCAGCTAATTTTAATATAAACTACTTATAGGCTAAAATAAAAGATTCAAATAATTTCAGTTTTTTGCTACGGTCGTGAAGCGCTGTCGTTTTATAGTAATGTGATGGTTTATAGTCGTCTGATATGTATACCTACTGCTTACAATAGGTTCGTATTACTTAAAATACATACCGGAAAATTGTGGCCATCTCTAGGTCTGTCTCAATAGCTCATCTTGAAAAATTTGAAAATCAGAACCCATAACGGCTGTCGTCTCTCGTGTATACACATATTTATGTCTATATCTAATATTTGCTATGGCTATATTAACATATGAAGTTAAACGCTGGATTTGGCGAAAGTGAATTAGGTTGCCATCACAGACGAAAGTTTTAAAGAGTGATAAGGCTCAAAAGTCTTTCTTAAAGCTTGGGAACTCTTAGGTTCGTGCCAAGAATCAAACAGCAAGACCTACATTATGAGGCCTACAAAATACGACGAGTGTATTTTTGTTTCTGCAAGGAATTCGCCCATCTAATAGAATTATCTCGTAGGATTATTTTTAAAGCACGTTCGAGAAAGGTCATGTCGTTTCGGTAGGGAATATACCTACTATTATAACTGTCTTTAAAAGTTCATAGAACGCGGTAAAGGACACGAACTCTCTAAAGAGGGGAAAGGAATGCACTCCGAATGTTCATGATTTTTTTTTATGCACCTGTGGATAAACGCGGTGTAAGTCTAAATAAAATTAATTCATCAAGCCGGAAGAATTGCTTCGAAGCAGGAGCAGGTAGCTCTACTAATACGGTGGAGTAAGGTGTGACTCAATACTGCTCACTTAATAATATACATCAGCAATTAATTATATAATCTTTATTGCGCCTACTTACGGTTTAAAACTGTTATTTAATTTTCAAATCACAATTTGGAAACAAAAAAGTAAGTGTAAAACAGCTTGAAATGGTCGTATGGACTTATTATCATTTGGATACACAAAAATCTCTTACGTTCGTATCTCCTTACGTTTCCTTAAGACAATGAAAAATATTTTAGGTGTAAATCTGCCGTCCTAGGCTTCAGCCATCTTAGCCTTGTGGTAATCCTATACGACTACCAGTGGAAGTCGTTTAAAAATGTATATTTTTCTTACATTTTAAACAAACCTTTTTATAAGCATATGGGTGTCATATCATAAAAAAAGAATTATCACTTAAAATAAGCGTACTCCATTGAAACGTCATCTGCGTAGCATAAGCAAACATTTGGGTTAAATTTTACAAAATAAAAACTGAAAATTCCAAATTACAATTAAAATATGCGCTTTAACGTTATCAATAAATTTAAAAGGCCATTGATTTGGACAGTCGAAAAAGCCAGACGCTACAGTCTTTGTGGTCCACCACGTCCAAGCAAATGCGGCTGTCCTCCAAAGCCTGGCAGTGGAAAAGTCATCGTGCCACCGGCTGATTGCAAGCCTGGACCGATTTGTTATAATCCCTGTGTTCCTCGATTTCACCACGGTAAAGACACTTGGAAAAAATACAGGAATTTCACATACTTTGTATTATTGCCTTTGATAGCGATACAAAGTTTTAACGCCCTTGGCCACGAACCACCACCAAAAGGACCATGCCGCGATTATGAATATATGCGAGTCCGAACAAAACGATTTCCTTGGGGAGACGGAGTCAAATCATTTTACCACAATGAGCACGTAAACCATTTGCCCGGCGAATGTGAAGCTCCGCCACTCGACTGTGATTAATGTGACAAACCACTGTTTTTAAAGTAAACATTTCAAGTGATAAACAGCGTATAGTACAGGCTGATTGTAATAAAATTTCAAAGTCTATAATGGTATTAGTTTTATTAAACCATTGTTATATCTTTGTTTACGTCGTCCATCGACATGTATAATAGACCTAAATTTAATGTATTTGTGTATAGAGGGATGCGATTAGCGGAGGTAAAAATCTCGTAGACAGCTGCACCGTAGCCTAGAGTATCATCAATCCACCTAGTCCCATTGGTGTCGCAAAAAGCCATTTCGGGATTTACCGGAGAATGGGTAGCATTGGTCTGTGTATTCTCGTAGCATACTAAAACCACCGACCGGCATTTAGATACTGGAGACAGGACGTATCGGATCAATTTAAAGATAGGTTCCGTGGTGCTTTTAGGCTCTTCAAGCACCTGTCACTGTGCTCATCGAACTTCGTCCATTCGCACGAAGAGTTCGACTAAGAAAACTAAGTTACTCGCCGGATGTTTTCAGTGGGTCGCGATTCTGGTAGTAGATTCAGCGAAGCACTGCTCTTGCTAGGGCTGATGTTAGCAAACTCTCTGAGCGCAAGAAGCTGGTGGTAGGACCTCTTGTGAGTACACACGGGTAGGTACCACCACCCTGCCTATATGTGTCGTGAAGCAGTAATGCGTCTCGGTTTGAAGGGTGGGACAGCGGATACTGAGACTTTGGAACTCATATCTCAAAGTGGTTGGCAGCATTTACGTTGTAGATGTCTATGGGCTCCGGTAACCACTTAACACCCGGTGGGCTGTGAGCTCGTCCATCCATTTATGCAAAAAAAAAAAGCTGAAATAGCCCCTAAGGCTACCAGCGAATAAGTGAGCAGGCAAAAAGGAGGAATGCTATTATAATTATTTTATAACTTATTCATTTCACGATCCTGATGTAATGGAATCGTTTTTATTACCTACATCTATCACTTTTTTTGGTAAGGACTTAAATCGCGTTATTGACAATTTTAAGAAACATTAGGAAAACAGAGTTCTGGATAACAATAATGAGCCACCGATATGCCGACCGCAATCGTACTTTCCCGCCCGATAGAAGGTCTTCCCTTTGCAGTCACTTTTTCATCATCGTCATCAGCCCACCGAAATCTCATGCCAGACATATGTAGGTCTCCTAGGTTCGTCACTATGATACCGTTCGTGACTACGCTACTCGTATCCAGCAGATTCCCACGACCTTTAGCAGGTCGATTCACTTCGTGGGAGGCCTACCCACGCTGCGTCTTCCGATGCGTGGTCAATGATGTGACAATAAAAACCAGCAGCGTAACGACAAGTTCTTTTATTTGTGCAAGAATGCAGAAAAGTAGGTAGAAATGGCTGGCTGGCTTGTTTTATTAACACTATCCCCCCTTCATTGGCTTTGGCTGGCGGCGGCGGCGGCGGCTGTGGCGGAAGGGGGCGTGTTAATATGGCTTGGCGGCTTGGCTGGCGGCAAGGCATGACAGCTGACGTCACGTCCGTTACATTCGGCCATCCTGCAACAATTGCTCCCGCAATGGGGAACACACAAAGACATTTAGTTCTCAAATAAATCTTCAATAAATCTCAAATAAATAAGGTCTTCAGTTTCGAGCTGCTCATCGGAACTACTAGCGCTAACGGACACATGAGCTATACTTTTATAGGGCCTTAATGAATCTGTTGGTACCAGGCCAGTGAAGTTTTTACAACTTCATAAACCTTTTTTTAGATATACTTCTAATTCGATACCGATTGTTACCTACTACTTTAGTTACTACATACGGACCTGAGTACAAATCGTCTAATTTGGTATTAATCCTAGCGGCGCTACTAATCAGTTGGAGCCTGTCTCTACGATACAAAATCCCTTTTTTTATAAACATGAGCATTTTTTTATATTAATGTTGTGTGTCATTGTTCTCGCTTATTTTATCCTAGCTGTAGCTATCTTACGCCGTGCGTCAACAGTTTCTGGTTCGCGACCAGGAATCGAAACATCACATATTGACCTACCAGAGCGCGCAAAGATTAAATCACAAGGCTTGTAGCCGCTGCTACTTTTAATTGTGTTGTTTGTGCCTCAAATGACGGAGTTCACTAAATTATTTGAAGCTTCACTAGGATCAGTTGCCCGCAACACAATCAACCTGGCCAATTAGCGCGCGGACAAGCAATACCGTTTAACGTATGCCTAAACTGTTTATCTTCCGATATATTTTTTAAAGTACCTACTCGTAAAAGCTTTCCCATAGTCTGTCACCACGTGATTCGGGTATCTGGACAAACCCTATTAATATATTTTTCAATGCACGAATGGTCCCGATTGAATTTACAGTACGCGTTAGTTCAGCTATCACAAATTTAGACAACGCATCTTTCATTACGATCATGTACTGGTTGGTGCCCTTTAGATGTCCTTCAGAAGGGCATCATGTTATCTATTTGTACCATGCGCATAGTATCAGATGGTTTAGAGATCGGATATAGACAGTCTTCTTTTTTTTAACATAGCTATCCTTCTCATGTGTACAATAAAGATATGCTGCCACGTATTTCCTAATAAAGCATAGTCATTTTAAAAAAAAACAATATTGGGTTTTAATCAAAGCTAAACGATGATTTAGATCCACGTGACAAATGTCGTCATAGTGCATTTGTACAATTTCCCATTTAGCCGAAGGGACTGCGAGTCTGTTTCCGTTAAGTTTTTCGAACTAGTTCATAATTATCTTTAACATCAGCGCGACTTCGTCCGCGTGGAATGTAGTTCACAAATAATGCTTTTTGGTTATTTGGTTATTTTTTGGTTAGCATAAAAAAAACGTTATAGTGAGCCAACCTTAACATATAGACATATGCTATCGCGGACATTTTTTTTTTGATCTTTCTGCAGCGCACGCACCGGAAGCTCTCAAGGGAAAATAACCCGATTTTGAAACATTCTTTACTGGTACTTCCCTTGTATTGGTCTTGACGTGACACAGTGATTGTCTTAGCGGTCTTAGCGTTATATAGCCTATAACCTTTCTCAATAAATGGGTTATTTAACAATGCAAGAATTTTTCAAATCGGACCAGCAGTTCTTAAGATTAGCGCGTTCAAACAAACAAACTCTTCAGCTTTATAATGTTAGTATAGATTGCTTTATAATCGAACCAAGCTTTTCGTCCTGACATTGCACAGTACAGAATCAATCAGTAACTAAGACGATTCACGTTCATCATGTCAACAGGATGCCTATTAAGTGCGTCTACAAATGTTCCATACGTTCACCAGGTCTATACTCAACACTAATGTCATAATCTTCTTTCAAAACTCACCATCGCGCAATGCGTGGTATAATGTCGGGTTTGGTAAGCGTAGCACAAACCACAGTACAATCAGTTTCTACTATATCATGTTTACCTACTTCATAAACACAGAACCTACAAAGCGATTGTACGACCGCCAGGTTTTGAGCTCTTAACTATGATACACACTCTTCCTTCCTAGTAACCCGGCTAAAGTACATAACAGGCCGCAGTGAGTTGTCAGTTTGTTTTAGTAATAGTATACCAGAAACTCCTAAGTTACATGCATCGGTTCGTATTTTTGTAAGAAAAATAGGATTATACAGAGCTAGCATAGGTTTAGAACATAAACTGTTTTTCAGTTGTTCGAAATTCGCGTTATGTTCATGGCCCCACACCCATGATTTATCTTTTTTTTTTCTTAACTCAGTTTGGACGCGCAATCACGGCAAAACTGGGAATAAACTTTCTAAAGTAACTTAACCAATAAACTATCGCACACTGAGCATTATTTGGCACAGGAAACTGCGAAACGGCCGTCAATTTTTGTTGCACCCGGCTGTATACCGTCTGAAGATATTTCATGACCTAAATAAGTGACTTGTTTCTCCAAGAATGAGCATTTACTCATATTTAATTTTAAGTCTCCACCATAAAATTTCCCAAGTACTTTCTCAATAATTATTGAANAGGGCGGCAGGCGCTCTTGGTCCGACGACGTCGAAGTCCCTTTGATTTGATTGTTCCAGGTTCTTCATCCTGTAGCTCAAGTATCGCCTTGTGGACCTCCTTCTGAAGCAATTTTTCAACACCTTCCTCGCCAGTGGAATAGGAGCTTCATCTTCTTCAAACTTGTCAGAAGACCGAGAGATCTGAGCGTGTATATGACATTGTTTCATTTCTTTATGCCACTTCTGATTGTTGCAAATGATGTGACAATAAAAACCAGCAGCGTAACGACAAGTTCTTTTATTTGTGCAAGAATGCAGAAAAGTAGGTAGAAATGGCTGGCTGGCTTGTTTTATTAACACTATCCCCCCTTCATTGGCTTTGGCTGGCGGCGGCGGCGGTGGCTGTGGCGGAAGGGGGCGTGTTAATATGGCTTGGCGGCTTGGCTGGCGGCAAGGCATGACAGCTGACGTCACGTCCGTTACAGTAAATAAAAAAAAAGGTCTTTTAAGATAATTTGTTTGATTTAATTTCATTATAAAAAACATGATTTGCATGGTACCTACTATTTACCAGACAAAATAATTTATAAATCTTACGCAAAATTGAGGTTTTTAAGAGCCTGCCGTAGTGGCGGGGCTTAGGGGAAAACTATGTCCAGCAGTGGACGTCTGTGGCCTGAAAGATAGATAGAGAGATTCAAATTTCTGACACTCGGCCATGTTACGCTGTAACTGTCGCTAATTGTATGAAAAATATTGATTTCTTGAAACTCTTCGCGCGTCACCTATCGTCTTTTGCAAATCAAACCTTCCATTGAGTAGCAACGACAACTGTACCGAGCTCTCTAACAATCTGATGAATGGTTTAGGAATGCGTAGAAGCAGGAATATACAAGCATCGCCTTTTATTTGTCTAAATAAGTGACATTGTAGACTAGATTCCCTTGCATAGCTCTCCGAGGAATCTTAGTACATTATGTAAGTAGGTATAACCCTTGCGCCTGTTAAAAAATCTAGACAAAAATTACTGATGTTGGAAGTTCTGATGGATAAGATTTTAAAATACATAAGTACTTTTGTACTGAAAAGATTTTACATGCACCGATAGGAAATTCTGTAACTGGACGATGCGCGCGCATTCACTTTGCGCAGGTCGAAGCGCGTCCGGGCTACATTACGGTATACAGAATCGATCAATAAAGGCACTGACGTCAGTGGAAAGCGACGCTCGATTGGCCCGGTGGTCATTATTAAGTAAACCATCGGCGGGGTGGCGCGGTACGGTTGTCGTAGCGGGCACAACACCGCAGCACGCGGCGGGCCCGCGCACCGCTCGCGGCTCGCCGCCGCACGCCATGGCTGACATGCCGGACCTTTCGCACCTCACGCCCGAGGAGCGCGCCATCATCGAGGGAGTCATAATGCGCCAAAAGCAGGAGGAGCAGCGCGAACACGAAATTATGAGGTGTGTTTTACGCCTTACCCCACGACCCCACGTCCCACCCCTCTTACTGACCAAATATTGAGAGAATACGAATTCCAAGTATCATCACAATTCGTCTAAATTAAATCTACAAATTTGATATCTACGGCGTGTTATCATCGGTCACTACTCGGAGATTCATTTCTTATTAAAATTCTATTTTATGAGGTAGATATCCATATACGCAGTATTCAGTTTTATCTTAATTTTAATTCTCGATCTATTTGTTTGTTTTCGATTAGTGACAAGTCATTTAAACATAATTTGATATTTTTTATTAATTTCTTTGTTATTTATGTTCAATTGTGTTGTTCTGGATTTCTATATTATTCTGTTATTTTTTTTTATTTCACATTAATTTATATCTCATAAATTTATTTATTTTGAAATTTAATTTAGAAGAAAAAGTACAAATAAATAATACATATTATTCATAGTTAATTGAATTATCGCATGTTCTATAAATATAATCACGTTTATCATTTACGAAAATAAAGTACATCTATGAATATTCTGAATTAGTGTTCACGTTGTTGGTAGAACAAAACAAATGAATAAAATATAAATGTTATTGTCTTATAAATATAAATGCAAATCTCAATACTATTCACATCATCTAAAGGATAATTTGGATGATTTTAACGACTATTAAAAGCATTAGGGATATTTTGCTATAGTGCCTACTGCCTACCATTCCTCCATTGTGAACAATAATCCCACGCAGTGGCGGGTTGTCGCCTAATCAACCGCGGTGGCGTGATGACGTAAATGCACTAGGTACTGCGTCAATGTTGCAAAACCTCTATAATTTAATTTGTTCTAAAATAGCATTATATACTTTTTTAATTATCTTCTATACGGACTTCCTATTTAAATTTTTGGGAAACGGTACATTTATTACATAACTGGAAACAAGTGTGACTTTCACTGTATTTGTGTAATGTGATTCAAATACATTAAATCCGATGACAGACGTAAACAAGACGAAGTCGCAGTGCTAGAGCAAACAATTCGTACAAGAAACGAACTTCAAAGAGCAGCGGGTGTGGAACTTGCTGCCACCTGCCATATTTGTTTGAAGACAAAATTCGCGGACGGCGTTGGACATTCTTGCCACTATTGCCGAGTGAGATGCTGCGCTCGCTGTGGTGGCAAAGTCACTTTACGATCTAATAAGGTAAGTATTTAAACTTTACAGCAATGAGGCAATATCTGTGGCCTCCGTCCTCCTCCGTTTAAAGTTTAGCAAGGAGTATTTACCGGGCCCTCTTGTATTGCCCAAACGGGTTGACATTATTAAAATTTTCAACCGCGCAATATATCACCAAGATGATTGTATTCATGTTGCTTTGTCTACTAACTGATTAACAGGTAAATCAAGATCTAGTTCTACTCGATCGTTCGAATAAAACAAAAGCCGACTTTCTATGAACTACAAAATATTTACCTCATGTTTCAGTATAGTGACTCATGCTTATCAATGAGACAGAGGTTTGCTTTGAACAATCCCTGTAATTCTACGTTGTCTACACAAATATACACTACAAATTGATAGTTGAGGGGTAGGGTTTTAGGCACTGAATAATGTCATCTCTCGTTACATCAAGAAGATTACTTGTTCATGAGATTGTTTCGTTCGAAACAGAAAACAGAATGAGTAGACATTTCGATTATTGGTTACAGGTTATTTGGGTTTGTATCCTTTGCCGAAAAAAACAAGAACTATTATCAAAAACTGGACAATGGATACACAAAAGCACAGGCCCAGATTCTATGTTATGGAGGATGGAGTCTGAGTTGCGAGGCCTGCTGCCCCAAGACGATGCTTCGCATGATAAAAGACCCAAACTCGAGCGAGCGCATAGTGCAGCCGAAAAAGAAAACCAGCCACTTCAGAGATCAGGAAGTGCCCTACGACGTCAGTATAGTCAACAAGAACAAAGGTGCTACGGAGAACTGGAGGGATTGGCGAGAACGCACCCTCACCTGGTACATTCAAGACAAAAAGCCGCCTATGGTGTAGTTGACACTATGATCTCGGCGCCTCTACCCGCGCAACTGTTACCACACGGCCCTGCTGGTCACAGCATGCCCTTACCGCCTCGTTCCTCCTCATCGGACGACGAAGTACCGGAGTGTATCTCCGATGAAAACGACGAGTATCGTGATCGTGGTAAGTACATAATTCCCTCAAACCGTCCAAACACCCAATCCTGCCACTTGCCACACCAATGAATCCTGCCCATCCAAGTATTTTTTTGCCATTCTTAAGACACATCTTTATACACAACGTTTATTCGATAACAAATTTACAAACATACAAGCAATCACACACGTTATGATTGACACACAAACACAATTAATTAACATCACTAAAAATTACTTATCAAGTTCTTTTAAATTTCTCACACTCAATGTACATTACTAAAGTTAAGGTGTTCCGTGCGAGGTTTTTTATTATTTCCCAGGTAGTTTGATTAACAATAAATAGCTCTCGAGAAATGTTTTACGGTTTCCTTTAATAATTTTAAGTATATTTCAGTTGAAATTTGATTTTATCTTTTGCAGACAGTTGTCGAGCACCTCAACTTATCTCACGAACGATCAATCATACTTTAACTCATTATTACAATATTTTTACGTACGATGTATACGGAATATTAATGTTACATGTATGTAATAAGTATTTATTTACAAAATTTATTTATCGAATATTTTTTTCAGATCTTTAAAAATTTCGGTGAACATTATTGGAATGTCATTTAATTTAAAATAAAAAAAACATGACGCCACGTGCGCGTTGCTCGTGCGCCCTCATACGCGCCCGGAAGCCGTGCTGTGTGCTAAATGGGTCTTTATTACACAATCCCGTGTTTACAGGTCCTAGTAGAGATAGGAGCAGTTCCGACAGCTCCCGAAGTCAACGTCAAGCAATATTAAACGAGAAAATGAATAAGTTTTTATCGGTGAGAGGGCGTTTTTTCGGGAAAAACTGTAAACTGTCTGTGCGTTGTATTTAAATGGCTAAATTCTAGATGTTTCAGTACTAATTCTATTCTCGCCAAATCCTTCTTCCTCTCGTCGTACGACTGATCAAAATAATATATGCGACTGTTAATGAGTACTTTCTGACGAAGAAAATTAATTCTGTAATATGGATATGTATTTTTGTTTGCCAAAGTACATTTGCAACGTTCACCTGGATTAAATATTAAAAATTATATGAAACCAAATTTTTATGGGAATTTAACTATATGAAATAGTGGTATACGCTATTTAAAAGTTGATTATTTCGGTGTGGCTCCAAACTGCCGCATTGAATAATTAAATTTTCAATGTGAACGGTAAATGTGCATGTTTTTACTTTGTTATTTGAATCAGTTCTTATAAGAATTAATACTACTACGGAGTCATAGCTCGTTAAGCAAATAACTTAAAAAATCTTTTTATAAATTTGGTATTGATTCAAGTAACAATCGCTTGACAGAACATTAAAGGATAACAAACATTTTACATACAATTATTATGTTGTTCATTTCGTGACAGTGCATTTCCTCTTTATTTTAAGTTCATGGTGGTTGTTTTTGTGTTCTTGGATGAGTTTACACACGTTCTTTCCGCTTATGCGTGGATCACTGCTTTCAATTTAATTATTTTACTTAGTGACAAAATACTGACATCAAATCTATCTACACAATTGTACACGTAACGAAATTTATAATAATGTTTGAAGCTTCTTCTTGTCTCATATGAAATAAAAGCGGTTCCGGGCGCGTAGGGGAAAGTCACTGGTTAATAAAATATGCACGAAGAGGCATATTACTTCTCCTTGCTATATCAATAAACGATGTCATCCTTAGGGAAACTAGAAGCGTGTGCTTCTCACCGGCACCCGCATCTGCGAAGTGCCAACGTAGCTGCCATCAATTATTACAATTTGACTAATCACTCGTCAGCTGGCTATGAGAACGAGAGCCGCGGGCAGTTCGAACACAGAACTGTGCCAGCCGGTGGACGCAGTTTCGATTCCGTGACCGATTGTCGATGGCGGGCACGTGACGAAAGCGAAGGTGCATATTTACGTCCGTATATACCAGACGAGGGCCCGCGCCCCGAACGCGCCGTATATAAGAGTGCGTACTTGTGGGAAGACTCCTCGGACAATAGACGTTTTACTGAAAGGAGAAAAAAAACTGTCCGTTTCGATGGTCACGAAGGCGCAGCGACATTTCCGAGGGGAGGCCGTGATGCGTCGGGCGCTCCAAGCGATTGGGCCTCCCTTCGCTGGGAGTCAGAGCGGCAGACAAGCCAAGATTCTGCAACAAAAGATTCAGGCATCGATACCTCTAGCACATTCACATCCAGTGAAGATTCAAACAGAGGCGATTGCCCTAAGGTATACTTGAGATTGTAATGATTTATAGCTTTTAAATAGGTTGTTCCTTTATTGTTTGAGACTGCTAAAAATCACTGACTTGTACTAATACAAAAAAACTATTTCTCGAAGATGTTTTTGTAAATTATAAATTGTAGCTTGTAGGAGACAATCGTTAGTTGCAGAGTTAGGAAGGGGAGGCGACCGCATATGTATTAACTTTAAAAAAAATGAATCCTTATCTAGTAAGTACAGTAACAACTTTTTAATGACTCACTATGATTAAACATGTAACTTCGTGAACTTCTTTTGAAATCTAAACGTCAATTAAAATTAGTAAGAAGCGTATAACTGCGGTCGTCGCTTCACTTAGACCGCCTTTTTGGAAGAAAAAAAAAACATTCAAGCTAAACTAACTTATAGAAGAGACAGATTTAGAAATTTCCAACACCTATAAAATTTCGTAGGTATTCAATTGTTTTTTGTGTTTGGCTGTAGCATGAATGCATCAACAAGCATGCACCAACTTCTTAGGTATTTGTGTGCACTTTAATTTGTTTTCGAAAACAGTCACGCATATACTAAAACTGTTTAAAGAATAACTGATGGAATATTCAAGGTATCCACGGGTGTCGTTGCGTATATCTTTACTCTTAACCAATTAAGTGCTCGTATGTTAAAACAGTTTCCGCCGAGTTGGCAAGCGTCAACGGATGGTTCGCGCGTGATCGGTCACATGGTGCTACGCAAAAGCGTTGTGGAGGGTAGTTCGCACTCTTCTGCAGCAATCCTGGGCTTAAAGGTCGTAGGTGGAAAATTGCTACCCGATGGCATACGTGGTGCTATAATAGAAAAAGTTAAGAAAGGATCAATAGCCGATTTGGAAGGGCAGCTAAGAATCGGTAAGTTTTGTTAAAAGTCAATAATCATACTTATTTCATGTTTGCATGATATATCAAGTCAATGCATTTTTACTTGGCAGGAGACGAAGTTTTACAATGGAATGGTGTGCCTCTTCAAGGTCGATCGGCCGAAGAGGTCGCAGCAGTTGTTGCTGACAGCAAGCACGACACTCATGTCGAATTAGTGGTATCACGTTCTCTTCCGGTCACTCGACCTGGAGCTCAGCCATGGAGAAGCCATAAAGGTAAAATATCAACAAATGAAACAATTATTTTAGAATTAAGTACATTAATAATTACATTCTTTTATGGAAGAGCGGAGTCTCCTAGTACAGGATTGCACGCTTAAAAGGAGACTCCAATCATTGTATTGTTTTGACTACTTTTTAAAAATAAAGTATTTTTGTATTTATTTTTGTATTTTTGTAATAAAAGACTGACTCTCGTTAGAAGTCTACACGGAGACAATGATGGTGGGCGGCTGCGAGAAGCCTAGCGTGCTTGTGACGTCTCCGGGATCTCCAGACGTACACTCGCGGCGTCGATCCAATCGTCACAGTCATCACAACGCAAATGTAGCTGGACGCATACAGGTCTGAGACCAGGACAACATTCCTAACCATTACATTGTCTTTAACGATTTTGCTAAAGATTTTATTTTCTACAGCTGAAAATATATTTTGACATAAGTGCCCTACAACTCTTGGTAACCGTGGTATCGGCAAGTGGCTTGACTCCGCGTGCAGACGGCTCGCCTAGATGTCCTTACGCAAAAATATTTTTGCTTCCCGACAAGAGTGAAAAAAGCAAACGAAGAACTAAAACGCTAGCCAATACATTAGAGCCGAGATGGAACCAAACATTCGTTTATTGTGGCATACGTATTACTGACATCAAAAAAAGAACACTGGAGGTAATTTACTTGAAATACATTGCAGATGTAAGGATGAGATTGGTAAAAATTTAATTTAAGTACTTCATAAAAAATTACTTTAGGTGACAGTGTGGGATTTGAATCGTTATGGACCGAATGACTTTCTTGGTGAAGTTTTACTTGATCTTGACAACATAATGATGAATCATGAGCCGAACTGGTACACCTTAAAGCCGCATGAAGATTCCAGTAGCTTTTACGTAAGTTCCGTTTGCATAATATTGTAATAATAGCAACATTCCTTTTGTATGAATCTAGGCTTTTTAATTTTTTTATTGCATTAATTTATTGCATTGGTGGTTGGAAGAGCTCACAGCCTAGCTGGTGTTAAGTAGTTACCGAAGCACATAGTCATCTATAACGTAAATGCTGTCACCCGCCTTGAGATATGAGTTCTAAGTTCTCAGTATAGTTACAACTGCTGCCCCACCTTTCAAACAGAAATGCATTACTGCTTCACGGCTGAAACAGGCAGGGTGGTGATACCTACCCGTGCGGACTCACAAGAGGTCCTACCACCAGTAATATTAGTTAACTTACAGAGATACCGAGAGGAAGAGGCAGACGGTGATCATTTATCTCCACCATCGACATCGACCTCACGATTATCAGATTCGGACACGCCAAGTGAATGTGACCTACGACGTCATCATTCTCTTTCGAGCCTCGCGTCTAGCTCTAGTCCGCCACCTCCTCATGATGTAAGAAATTGTACATTAGGAATGTTTCTTTTTAAGTAATTTTGTACATACATTTTTGAGCAATAATCATTCTCCTGTCCTTCTCCCAGTTACCTTGTCATATACAATTTCTTCGCACACTCCCCTCTTACACATATTTTCTTTCACCAATCCATCCATTTCTTCTTAGGTCTCTTTTTTCCTCTATATCCTTCCACATTCGTAGTTAACACTCTCTTACCAACCTCATTTTCATTTCGTTTTGTTGAGCAAATAATCATATTTTGTTTGAGAAAACAGTAGTGAAATTAGTTTTAAAGTGTCGTAGCAATTAATATGTTAATCTGTATTTGTATAAAGTTTACTTTTTTTTTTATTGCTTAGTCGGGTGGACTAACGTGCATAGTTACGACTTTTATATTAAGACATGAGATATTATGTGCCTCTTTTTTACAATTTGATAACTAAGCCATCAACATCTTCAAAACGTTTATAAAGCTCCTCCATCTTTCATCTTTATTAAATTTCATAAATTTACTATTTTAAATACTATACTACTACTATATTAAATTAAAAAATAAATATATTTCATTATAGAAAGCCCTCATTGTTTGCTTCACACTTTATGTTTTGTGGGATAGAATAGCCACTGCAGAATGTATGGTGACTTAAAGAAAGACTCATGCTGTGGTGGTATTAGCACGGAGTGACCTCGTTTGTATGTCCATCTAAGCCGGAATAAGAATTTCGTCAATAAGAAATCGAGAAATCGCGTTTATATGCAAAAATTATTGCGTGTGACGTCATTCGGGGTCAAAAGAAACGACAAGTTAACCAGACAATCGTTATGATTATGATCAATTAGCCCATTACTTCCACACACAACTTCTGCTGATGGATGAGTGGTCACTGATATATATTGTCGCTGTGAAGCCAAAATCTGCTATGTGCAAAAACTCTATTTTGAATTAACGACTAAAAACATTTTCGTATAAAATTTTATATGAAGGTGAATTTTTAAGATTTATATGAAATGAAAGCTATAGACACATAACAGTTTCTTTTATACGGTAGATAGGTCTGTGAGCTATTCGAAAAGGTCAAAAAGTGCAAATAGCAGATTTTGGTTTGACAACGACGATATAATTTAATTACACCCTATAAACACACATATAAAAAATACTTATAGTATTACAGAGTTACTGTTCTATTAATGTACTACAATAAAAAGTTTTATTTTTATTTTTATGTTAATCCCTGCTATTAACTCGTTAGATAAAATATAGAAATAAGAAAAATGAGTTTTAAAATTTACAGTAATGTATTTATTAATTTTACAGAGGATGGATATGGAAGGTATAAGAAGCAGCCGACGCGATATGTCCCCCGCAAGTCGAGTAAGAACTACTGGAATGTCTAGAGATCGGGTTAGTTGCAACACCGATACCAGATACCAATCTGCACTTGTGTTTTGAAAACCTATTCATTTTTTATATTTGACGTTTTGTCAACCTTACTATAAGCAAAGGTATTTTTTTCTAAATAAGAACTCCAAAAAGCAAATTCATCTCTTGAATATTATAATTTTTTTACTGAAAACTACATTGCTCTGGTAATAGCTACATGACCAAGTCTCCCAAATTGATATGCATAAGGCGAGTGGTATATCCTCTAAGAACCATTGTTAAAATATACCTATACCACTCACTAACGAAGGCGACTATTAGCGACATTACGAATTGTTCTTCTAGAGAAAAGGGGTGACATTCAGTTTTGTCACCTTTACCAAAGAATCCTGTTTGGTTCTGGCACAAAATTGGCTATACCATTTGTCACTAGATGGATAGTATCTATACCCATATTAATATATAAATCTACAGTGGTTTTTACGGATGTTTCGTTATAACTACTGAACCACGCATCCGATTGACTTGAAACTTGGTATCCATGTAGAAAATACATGTACTTAATGGATAGGCTAATATTTATGTGAGTGTTGGACTCCCTGCACCAGTTGTGGGGGCGTTAATGATGAGATCTTTGTGGGGGTAAGAAATAATAATGTTAATTTTAAATGCCCAGCGAAGCGGACGGATACAGCTAGTCGTAGTATATGATCGTTTTTAATGATCGAAAGCATTAAGGAAATCAAATGTTTTTGTTTTTTTGTTTTTTTTTAATTGCCCTCAGAGTCAGACGGGCATACGGCCCAGCTGATGGTGAGTGTTTACCATCCTCCATGGACGTCAGCAATGCCAAACCGCTGCCTATCAATGCGTGTGTAAAACAATGCATTGTCGTTTGTGACAGAGCTGCGGGTACAGCGTAGCGCGGTCGCAGTCTGCAGCGGGAGTGGCGCGGCCCCAACGCGCCCGCAGCAAGTCTCCGCGCCGCTCGCTATCGCCGCCCGCCGACCGCGACGTCTGGCGCTACGCAGGTGTCCGGCGGCGCCACCGCGTCCCTCTCACTCGATAACGTTCTTTGTCTTGGACCGATACCATTGGTTTCTTGTTCAACGTTTGCTCCGTGGACGTCGCCACAGCGGGCTTGGACCCCGCACGGAACACTCCAAACACGCACGTTTTCTCGCCGCGTCTCTCATCCACTACTTTACTAACCACTTACCTACTTATTCTTCCTGTACTACTATTTTTTCATGCATTTTCCGTACGCCCTATCCTCGAACCTAATCGACAAGCATGCTGTCCTGGTTTTGAAATTAACATACTTTAAATATGCGCAATGCTCCCTTGTATACCTTTCATAAATTTTATTTACGCGCAACAATACATTTGCGTTGTTTTCTAGAGATTGCATCGTTTCAACGAGATCTTGAAATACTTGTGAACAAGGCGCTTTTTTTTAAATGTAAATTTATTCTTGTTTAGCATGTAAATCAGAACGTCCATTGTTTTGTCCACTAATCTTAAAACATTATTTCTTCTGATCTCTTAACGTCATTCACGACTAGGGTTGCCCGACGTCCCATATTTCCCGGGACGTCCCGTATTTTAGGCTTAGTTTAAAATGTCCCGGCGGGACTGACTCTGTCCCGTATTCGAACCGTACGATTATAATTGCATTGATTTTTATAAATATGTTAAAACCGATAAAAATATGTTAAAACTAACTTGCTCCTCGGAGAAATATAAAAAAAAATAATGTCACTATATGATTTTGTTTTTTATTTGTCCCGGGTAAGAAATTAAATTCCCGTATTTTTTTGCCCATTTAAGCATTTGCCCCTTATAGGCTGAAAAATAATCTGGCAACCCTATTCACATCCATTGAAAAAATCAAATGTATGTAAAGTTTAAAATGTAGTAACATTATTTTAATGAGTACAAAATCTATTGGTCAGAGGTAAAACTAAGTAACTGCACATATTTTACAGTTAATGACGACAGAGGAGGCGACGGCTCGCGGTTGCCGACACACGCGTATGCTCCTCGATTCCAATCACGGTCGGCGACCGCCACACCCACCACGAGTCCCAAGAAACGCCAGTTGCCTCAGATACCGCACCAGGTAAGGGATTAAATACGGGCTTATCACCTAATTGAGCTGTCGCCTGAAAACTCCGACCTGGTCATGATCGGACGCATGGGACATTGGCAACGCAAGATATATCTTACAATTTAAAAGAACGAGATGGAAAATAGAAATAAAATTACATAATATCGAACAAGCGGGTTGTGTCGTGTTTTTTTATTATATTTTTCTAAGTATTCCATATGTAGATATAGAATTGAGAAAGATGAAGAAGTAGATCATGTAAAGTTGACTGATACATTATTAATTATATAATTATGGATACGTGAATTATAAGCCAGTACGTAGGATCGTTCGTGTTCGTTCTGTATATAAGTATAAAAGGAATAAAAAAATCTCAAAAACAACCAACCCGTTAGATATTATTATGTGTACTTTAGACTAAAGTAACATTGTCGCATCTATACAATAACAACTTTTTTTAATTTTTATTGCTTCGATGAATGTACGAGGTTACGGCCCACCTGGTGTTAAGTGGTTACCAGAGCCCATAGACAGCTACAACGTAAATGCCGCCACCCACCTCTAGAGATGAGTTCTAAGTCTCAGCTTTTACACTATAACGGCTGCCCGGCCCTTCAGACCGAAAGGCGGTATTGCTTCACGGCAGAAATAGGCAGGGTGGTGGTACTTACGCGTGTGGGCTCATAAGACGTCCTACCACAATGTCAAATAAAATTTCAAAATTTCAATTTTGGATTCAATCAAATGAATTCATTACTTAATTTAATATTTATTGTAGAGTCAGAGTACCCAACGGGCTGTACGAGCGCAGGTGTCCGCGGACCTAGAAGAACGTAAGTGGATCGCCCCGCACCACATTGGCGCCACACTCACGTACCGCAGCACGCCACAAGGTCAATACATGCATGCCCTCGCCCGAAAACGAAATGTTTTTATGTATGCTGTTTAAAATGTCAATTAAACAGTAATCAACGAGTATCATCGATTCACGATAAACCATTGGTAGCCTTGAATACCGAAGATTAAATAAAGAACATTATTATACATTAAAAAATAAAAATAAATCTTTAAATGACCCAAAAGATTGTACAGGTTTAAATTAGGCAATTTTGTTTTTTTTTTGCAACATCGGTTTATTGTACTGTTCGTTTTAAAACACATATTCAATTGAGAAACACCCTCGTCAGTATTTTCTCGAAAGACCTACCATTCTGCGTCGTTCATTCACAATAGATCCGTGATCTGCGGTTGGCGGCGGTTCCATCTTATAAATTACTAAATAACAGTTAGACGGGATGTCACTCTATATTTACTTCATATTCGTAGAGCTAGTATACGCTTTCCTCAATTGATTAATATAAAGCTCGTATTTCTTGGTTCAGTTCAGAACCGAATATTTGAAATCTGAATAGGATCAATTATTTAATTAGAATTGGGCCTTCCGTATCCAACAAAATAGGAATAACCGCGGATCTACAGAATTATTAAACTTCAATGTGCCAGATTAATACGATCAAGATTACCAGTTTTAAAATAATATTCAAGCGTTTTCGTTTTTATTTGTAATTTTTATTTATATACTATTATTACTTAATTTTATTAACATACTTAACATGTACAATTCCTAAATTTTACGACACAATTGTTTTATGCAGCAGATGCAGTGACTTGTAAACGTGCACACTGCATCTTAGATACGATCTGTGTGCTTAGTGCGAGTTTTTTAACTTTCTCGATAGCGAAAAAGTTAGCTCATATTTGTATGGAATGGGATCGTTTGCCTACATTTGCCGCTAGGGGCGCTGTTCCAACTGCATACAAAATTGGGCTAACTTTTACGCTATCGAGAACGTTAAAAAACTCGCACTAAGCACACTGTTGGGAAAACTCTTCGAGTAAACCTTTGTTTTTTTTTATTGCCCTTGTAGGCAGATGAGCATACGGCCCACCTGATGGTGAGTGGTTACCGTCGCCTATGGACTTCAGCAATGCCAGGGGCATAGCCAAGCCGCTGCCTACCGCTTAATACTCTCCACAAGCCTCGTTTGAACAAGGACATGTCATAGCGCTCGGGAAACACCGTGGAGGGGAGCTCATTCCATAGCCGGATGGTACGTGGCAAAAAAAATTCTCTGGAAACGCACTGTGGATGACCGCAGTGGCTCCAGGTAGTATGGATGAACTCTACTCCGGTGGCGAGTGGTGCGATGGTAAAAACGAGATGCCGGTATCATCTCGAACAATTCCTCAGAGCACTCCCCATGGAACATACGGTACAAAATACAGAGGGAACCGAAGTCCCTCCGCAGACCCAGAGGTTCCAAACGATCCGTAAGAATGGGATTATCGACAATCCGAACGGCTCTCCTATGTATGGAGTCAAATGGAAGAAGCTCGTATTTGGGAGCCCCGGCCCAGAGATGGGAGCAGTACTCCACGCGAGGCCGGACTTGTGCTTTATAAAGCAAAAGTCTTTGTCCAGGCGTGAAGTACCGCTTCGCTCTGTTGAGGACTCCCAGCATTTTGGACGCCATCTTGGCTTTGCCTTCCAAATGACTCAGAAACTGGACATCGCTCGAAATGTCGACCCCAAGTATCCCGATACTCTCGGAAGGTTGCAGGGATACTTCTTGGAATTGCGGCGCCATGACAAAGGGGTCCTTCTTCGCAGTGAACACGCAAACTTGTGTCTTCATCGGGTTGAATTGAACCAAGTTCAATTCACCCCATTCGGACACTCGGCCCAGAGAGTTCTCCACTTCAGACACAAGTTTTGATCGTCTCTCTTGCACCACGCTCCGAGAGCGTGTTCCCAATGGTCGCGTACAAATGCACTATTACAACTAATTCAGCATTCCAGTTTTATTTAATCTAATTACTAATTTATACATATATGGCTACAGACGTAATCCAAAGTTATTGACAAGCAATTGAATGATGACTGCCCAATGTACAAGCACAAATTAGCGTCGACGCATTACAGATATTTACCGAACGGCGTCCGCACTCAAAATGTTCGCGCTAAAATGGGCCAAGCGCAGACCGCGCGTCACCCAAAAGACTATAAAATCAAAGTATTAGTTCACAAAGATTTTCTAAATCTTATGTACATAATGCAGATTAAAATTATAAATTTAAATATTTAAGGTACAAGAAACTTAAGCGCCTCCTTAAATATGGAGCAAATGCAGAGAAATACTCTGTTGATTCGTCCATCATTACAATATTAATATCGACTCACTAGTCATCGCCCGCGATTTGAGTCGAACAATCAGATATCCCGTACTTTAAAGCTGTACACAACACAGTTCACCTATTTACACATTTCACTCGGAAAAAAGCATGATAGTAGTAGTAGTAGTAGTATGTAGCTATTAAAATTATTTAGATTCCTATTGTAAAACGTTATTATATGTATATTACTAACTATGTAAGCGGTCAGGATATGATCAATGTGATCTTACCAATCAGAGCAAAGAGAAGATTGTCACGCCGTCGACATTTAATTAAAAGGTAATAAGAGGTCAAAGTCTTAATTGTATTGTATCGACGACGGTCTTAAACTTTAAATCGAGATTAAATTGATCGCAGCAAAAATAAGACAGGACGGTAGAGGTATCTACCGACTTATTATTTTATAGTTATTTTAACAATGCAACGAAATCATATACAAATAAAACAGCTAAAACCTATTCAATACAAAGGCGATCTACACAAGAAAATGCTTGCTTATTAAATACTGGTAGTATAATTCACAACAATTCCATGATTTAAAAAATACAAAACGGTTCCCGTTGTGTTGATAAGTATTTGCTATGTGTGGGCCTTACCTGCCTGGGTTCACGACCCAATCAATGGATTTACATTACATATGTGATAAAGTAATATATTTTTTCTCTTCTTTCTAAAAGAAATGTTTGACAGTGGCAATTTTTCACTTTCTATATTTAAATGTCAATATATGCAGGATGGGAGCGACATTATGCGGGTTTATCTGATTCGGAGCTTGCTGCCCGCAGTGGCGGTAGTTGGGCTCCACGGAGAAGGCTATCTCCTGATGCAACAGCAGCAGATTCCGACCTAGAATCGGTCGCTTCTGTAACATCAAGCGCCTTCAGCACACAATCCGAACGACCTCGACCGACACGTATGCTTAGGTATGATGAAAAAAATATAGTATTAAAACATTACTGGTACAAACCAACAGTTGAGAGGATCTTTAAACTGTTATTGACCTAATTTGCAGCCGGAAACGAAACATTCCCCTCCATAGTACATCTTCTTCGTGCGATAGTGCTATTCCTTTACCTGAGACCTTTCATTGTTTTTCCGGTGCTCCTTGTCGCCAGTTACCTATTTTATACGTACCTGCCGCCGCTGAGCGTGTCGTTCGTATGAGATCATGTTCAAAATGCGCGTCATCATTTTCTGGTATGTCATCCACGCAACGGACTACACAGATACGCACTCCTCGCCGAATCCGAGGGATGCCGGCACGAAGTCGGTCTGCAGGCTCTTGCACTAGAGACTGCAATCGTCGCTATTCTTATGAACGGAGTTACAGTTTTCCTGAGTATCCCGTCTATACAAATGCCTATAAACTAACGGAGAACAACAAAGAATGCATAATTGAATTGCCACTATCTAGGTTTTCAAAGTCTACGGCAAATGGCTATATTTTACCTAAAAAAGTTTTTTACCGTCCAAGTGATAATCTAATATGCAGCTCAACGCATTTTAACAAAAGAAAGATACATTTACCACAAAAAGTAAAAATAAAAGACGATCAAAAACCTTTGTCTTCGGATGAAGACGTTTATAATCTAAGGAGATACAAAGAAATGAGGAGAAAGCTTCCTGATTTAGGGTGTTTTAGAACTCCAAGATCGCTACCGGCTTTACCTGCAGCAATTACCTTAAATAATAATCAAAACTTAAATACTACATTCAATATTAATTCACTAAATTATAATAAAAAATGCAATACACTTTATACTGTACAAGTCGAAACAAATGATAAAATTAATTGCGAGGATAGCAGTAAAGAGTTATTAGACGCAAATAAGACCAATCAACATAGCCTATCAAAATATTCACAAAAAAATGACCGCAAAAATGTTTTGTCGCTTGACCTTAACGCAATAAACAATGAAAGAGAATTGAATATAAACAGTGACAACTACTCATCAAATACGAATAATTTGAATCAGTACTCAGATAAAAATAAGGAAAATCATAAAATCGATCAAAGGCGTTACTCCGATTCTGTCATTATAAAGGGTTCACCTAAACTTAATACATCTGAAAACCTTATCGACGTATTTAAAATGGTGAATATTTCGGCAAATAAATCAAAAGACGTTGATGAAGCTGATGTAGATAAAAGTGTCAAAAGGAAAACAAAAACGAATTCGGTCAGCATCAACGAGGTTCCCACTTTTCAGGAATATGATTCACTAAATTCATCTCCACCGCAACCAAGTATAGATTTATTTTTAAGAAAACCTTTGCCATCTATTATTAAAAACGCTCGACCACGTTCTCATTCCCTAGTACCCAGTGACCGTTTAGATAGAGAAATCAGTATTATTGCTAATTGTTTGTCTATTGCTCTTTCTCCTTCCAACCGCAACACTTGCTGTCGCCGTGCGCTCACGCCTGTCGCATCTCATCTGCCACATGACGACACTGACCACACCGATCATGATTCGACGGCACCGTCGACTTCGGTGGTACCAATCGACCACGCCCCCCAACACTCTACGTTGCAACAAAAATACGACCGCCGCGAAATGAACAAAACGAATAATTCAACTGCAAAAACCGGGAAACCTACACGACGAAAAACGAAACATAGCAACGATTATGGTGGAAGGGACAACGGAAGGAACAATAATCAGCCACAGCCGTTGGAGAGACGCGAGTCTCGACGAGGCCAGTTCACTAGGAGTTTGAGCAACGCAGATGTTCCGCCTGATGAAAAAACAGGTAATCAATTAACTTATCCATTATCTTCAGTCACTAGGTTTATGTATAATACCTACCTAAATAGTAAATATTATTCATAATTTAATTTTTAATTTAATAGCCAGTAAACGAACTGTGATACCTGATAGATACTGAATATACTTTATACATTACTTTGGAGTGCAAACTTGTTTGATAAATTCAGGAAATAGTTTTGCGATTCAAGTGGTAACAATATATTATACATGAATTGTCCGTCAAGATGGCAGTCTAAGTGACACTGCGTTGGGTGGTACCGGCGAGCTGGAGCCAAGCACTGATGATGTCCTCTTAAAAGCTGAGCCTCGGGATTATTTCGGGCCGGGCATGGGCAAGAAAAGCAACTCTACCTCACAATTGTCAGCCACAGGTGAACTCTAAAATAATTATGTTAACAGCGTTTTTTGTCAATTTCATTTTACTGTAATAGTGTTCGATGTTTGAAATTTTTAGGCCTTGTTACGTAACATAATATAGTTTGCATAATGTGTTGCGTAGGTTACATCTAAAAGTAACGGCTAATTAAAACCTACAGGACGAAAACGAAGGTTAGGTTTTGGTAAACGTGGCAAAAATTCGTTTACGGTGCAACGCAGTGAGGAAGTGGTTCCCGGCGAAATGAGAGGAGGCACCGGCGTGTCGCGGGCCTCCTCCGCATCCAGTGAGAACGACGAAGACAGGTTCGCTCGATACCGCCGACATTGGAACAATAGTGCGTCGGGGGCGGTAGCTCTTCAAGAAATAATTTTCAATCGAAATGTCTATCGATGTAACAAAATATCCGTGACTAGAGAGAAACGTCAGAGACAGTGTATTTGCTGTCATTCTCACCTGACGATGATTGGCAGTATAAACACGGCATGCTGCAAATTAATATGCTTACATACCTACATACATTTACATGCATAACCTTGTTGTCAATGGATAAATATACATATATTATATCGCTTTATTAAAATATGTATGCTGATATTGAGCTTTTAAGAATAAATGTGATTTTGAGCGATTCCAACATGCCAATTTAAAACTACTTTTACGATTTAATCTCGTATTTTTTCTTGACTTTCTGATACATTAAAGTATTCGCCAGGTGAGTCGCCAAAGACCACGAAAACTGTAAAGTATTCGAAGCATGGGATATAATAGAATGACAATAAAAGCCGTAAAAGTAGTTTTAATTATGTCTAAGTCTCACGAGAACTAAAATACTAAACACATTACTTATTTACCGAAGAATTGATTTTTAGAGACCTATCAAACGAATCGCTCGAAATCTAATTGAAAATGATAGTAATAGATATACATAGTTAGATGTATGTAGTGTGGGTATCAGCACTACTCGTACTATTACTGGCTACTGTGATACTGTGTAACGTGTGTGAGGGGTCGCGCAGAGAGCGGTGGCGCGCGACGCAAGCGCTCGGGCGGCACGGTGACCAGCTTCCAGCGCTCGCACGAGGTCTGCGCCGTCAGCCTCCTGTCCATATCTAGTTCGGAGGGATCCTCGTAAGTCGTTCGCTCGCCCGCTCCGTTCCGCTCGCAGTTCGTCGAGTGCCTCTTCTCGTTCCTTCTGTGTGCATATCGATGTTGTTGGCGTCTTCTGTTCTGCCCCTCTTTGTGCGCCTTGGTCTTGTAAACGCATGCCGCAGGTTTTTATTGGTGTATTGACCTCACTCATTCTTTCTGCTCAGCACGTACGAGTCTTCTTTCGCAAAAACGATGCACTCTCTCGATTCTTGCATAACGTACAAGAGTGATTAACATTTGCTTTCAATATGACAAATAAAATTTACCCTGAACTTTATGAAGTAACAAATATCGAGGTAACAACAAATCTACATATCATAGATATTTAATGGGTTTTAATGTTTATGCACGATAATCAGTTTTTGCCTTGAAAGACCCAAATTTTGCACACACTTTTATCACTCCTAATTTGTTATTTAAATTTTGAATTGGCGTTCATCAATATACATTTCTAAAGTAATCAATCCATAAAGGTTTGCATGACTCGTTGGAGCAGTGTAGTATTAACACTGTCACTGGCCTCATGACACCTGCATCAATTTGTCGTAGCGCGTCTCACATTTCGCGCGAAAATCGCGAGAAGCTGATCGTAATGCTCTAACTAGCTAAATATTTTGCATCCGATTTGCAGGAAGTTCATAATATTTCATGCACATTCATGTTTCTCATTTTGATTTCACATTCCTAAACAATTTTCGCATGAAATGTGGAGCAGTTAATATAATAAGGAATGTTAATAAATGCAGAAATGGACGGGTCAAGCTAACAGACAGAATTTAAGTCTAAAGGAAAAAGTGAACGCCAGTTCTCACTGCCTCTCACTTTGTATCTTTGTCTCTTTCTCTACATACAACCCCCATAGATTAACCATCATGTGAATTTCCAGTGCACAAATAAAATGAAAACAAAATTAAGTTGTATTCCATTCACAAATAGGTATTTATTTTTATCAATTCACTTTGTCATAAATTAAAACATTTTCAATAAAAATTGTTTACTGTACGCAAAATATACCTACCAATTTTGAAAATTCACCGGTGATTACAGGCCCTTATTATGTTTTTACATATCAACTTAACTAATTTAAAACTCAACATAAAAATCTGTTGTACAAATATTCTTGTGCTGGTTTATTTTAAGGAATCAAAATACATCATTATGACACAATTTTTTACCGGTGAATACTTTATTCAACAAATTCGTTATAAATAAATTAATAATAAATTTTGGGGTATGATAATAAGACTACTTTCATAAAACGAATAGACGTTACGAGACCCGTCCATTCATGCATTTTTAGATAGATCGATGTCATAAAGTAGATTAAAATTTAAAGATACTATTCAATTTCGTACGTAGATATGTTTCACTGTCTTGGAACATATTAAGCTGAGAAATAAAGATCTTGTATTTCATTATTAAATTAATTGATGAACTACATTTAGTTGAGTACCAATATTCTCTAGCGTTTCTCTTAGCACCTTCCTTTATGAGTATCTTTGATATTGTACAATTTCCCTTTTAAATACTTATTTAAATTATATGTTGTGCATCCGAAAGACTACCGCCCTATCCTCACTATTGTATCAATGTTATATACTTGTTACTTATCTATATGTATAAATACTTATCATGTGTACTTGCCGTAGAAATTACTTGAAGGTTTTAATGGATTGTCTATTTTTCATTCATAACACAAATAAGCTTTATATCGTGATGTGACATTTTCTTGCATAACACACAGAATGTTCTACACAGAATTACTATAACTTTTATTATTCTAGATATTTTATTTATTTATTGTTAGGTACATTACGGACTATTTTTTTTTTTTGTTATTTAAAAAAGGTAGTCACATATTTTTAGAGAATGCATAGTTTTACAATCCATAGTTGGTTATCGCCTATGTTGATACTGCTGTCAGTCTAGCTTATTGGGTACCTTTTTTCCTATCTATGCTGATAGCCTTGATAGGCTATATCAGCTTTATAGCGTGTAGGTGAGCTCTCGGGTTTCAAACCGGAGGTGTTGCTAATACTGGACAAAGCGGTGCTTCGCAGAATCTACCAGCGGATCGGAAACGCGACCCACTGAGAAGATCCGGCGAGAAACTCAGTGGGCTGTCTATGGGTTAATTTACTCGCGAAGCCCTTCGTTGCAAGCGACGGGTTCAACGAGGACGTATTTTCAATAAACATTATAATATATTGATCAAGAACAGTAAATAACACGATTAAAACTATTTTTACGGATAATCTCGCATTTTTATCTGTCCGTGTCCACGAAAACTGTAAAGTATTCAAAACGTCGGAAATATTATGATGACAACAAAAACCGTAAAAGTAGTTTTATTTATATGTCTACGGTTTATCTACAGCTCGAGAAATCCGAAGACAATAATAAGAACAATAACTGTTAAAACTGTTGTGCTCAATGTAGTCTAGGCAAACAAAGCCGAGGCCCAATTGTAGCTTTCAACGTAGGTATATTTTAAGCATTCTTGTTAAATTTCACGAAAGTACTTTCTCAATGACACTTGAAATATTGAAAAACGCTCTGATCAACCCTCGTCGATCGATCGTGCACAGTAAGCCAATAGGCACGTCGGCTGTAGAAGCCACGCCGTCCCCTACATATTATGTATGTTATTCATCCATATGGATTGTAAAATGGCAGTTGTTTGTAACAGAGTAATAATGTCCTAATTGAGCCTTTGCTCGCCCACCGGTCCTGGTGAAACTGGAAAGGCATACGGGTCATCATAAATTGTTACTTCATTTAAAAAAAGTAATAATGTGGAAGCCATGTATTGTAATGAGAGATAATCTATTTACTGCGATTAAACGAATGGAATAAGGCTGTATGAGAACTAATATTTTCACTCACACGGCCTCTTTATTTTTGAAACAATGGGTTACGCTTGAGTATATTTTCATTACACTGACATGTCAATATTATTACATGACCAGAGCGAAGACGATACTATGTAACTACAACTAGTTGACAAGACTTAGCGTATCGATTTGGTGGATGTAATACATATATATATCGGTGACGATAAACTCGTGTCACATTATCACAAAACTGATTCTAGATGAGTGCTATATAAATATTTTCATTTTATACGATTACGAAGGAATACTAAAATTTAATTATTTTCTTGAAATTAAAAAAATATAATTTGGTAATATGAGAATCACGTCACATTATAGATAGTGTCGGGTACAGAAATTACTATGTAATTACGTCATTCCCGATTTTATCGGGAACGGATATGCTACTGATATGTTGAAGCTGATATCTGTCTTGAAAAAGCGTTATAGTTCCATGTGTGTTTAATAACCTGTCAGATATCAGGGAGATTGTCTGAAAAATTGTAATTGTCTTGGTCAATGAAAAAGGGTTGCCATAAACCAAACGCTAGTTATATTTTATCATTAAAGCCCGTGCGCATAACTTAGGTACGTCCGCGCTGATCGGGTAATCGGCACACCGATAGGCACTTACTTCCTTCTACATATTGCACTAAGAATGTGAAAACAGCCAGAAAGAACTACGGTCATCCTATTCTATCATTTTAGTGCCTTAATACAGTCGTCTCACGACCAACGTAAGGCACGTGCTTAGTTAGCAAAGCCAGTGTACTTAGTACTTAGTAGTAAGCACACTGTAGATACCGGTTCGTATGAGTGTCGTGGCCAACCTTCAAGCGTGAAGTCGATGTCTCCATTGCAACCACGGCTATCCAACCAATCAAATTGAATCGAATGAATGGTCTGCGACAGACACACCAAACTTTGAAGGCTCCAACTACACACTAGTACAAACAAGATAGAAAAACTTAAGATTTTAACGCAACGACACGGACGTGGAATATGCGCCCGACTTTAGTTATAGTAGACACTATCGAATACCCAATATTGCCAGGTGGTCCCCGGGCATGCGAGGTTCTGGTTCTTCAGAGGGCGGAGGGCTGTCGGACTTCATTGACGGCCTAGGTCCCGGACAGCTGGTCGGAAGACAATTACTAGGAGCGACTACGCTTGGAGATGTCCAACTTTCAATGTGCTACCAAAAAGGATTCTTAGAGGTTAAAAAATATAAATATATTTTTTTTAAGTCCAATTTCTTTTTATTTGTCTTATTTCGCGGTGGAGCACATGGGTTTACGCAAATTCAATCTATATTTTCAGGTGGAAGTCATACGTGCTCGCGGCTTACAAGCCAGGCAAGGAAGCCGAACCCTTCCAGCGCCATACGTCAAGGTGTATCTCGTGAGCGGAAAGCGATGTATAGCCAAAGCAAAGACAACAACCGCACGACGTACGCTCGACCCTCTCTACCAGCAAACGCTAACGTTTCGAGAAAACTTCAAAGGATGTGTACTGCAGGTGACTAAGGAATATTTTTATTATCTACCCACATACTCTATGTCAAAAATTTTTATTACTCAGAGGTGCTCTTTTTGCCTACCTATGCTGGTAACTTCGATGGGTATTGCCAGCGTATCCGGACGAGTAGGTGAGCTCACGGAGCTCTAACCTGAGGACACTGCTAACACTAGTCCTAGAAAGAGCAGCGCTTCGCAGAGTCCACCACCGGATCGGAAACGCGACCCACTGAGAAGATCTGGCGAGGAACTCAGTGGGCTGTCTGAGAGAGGGTGCTCCCAGTGTCAATTGGTTACCATATTAAGGCAAGATCGAAGTTTCATCAATTGTATTACGTAACGCAGTCACATTTTTGCAATTTCGGTATTTGCTTAGTTCAGGTTTAGTTAGACAAGTTCTTGTTTCAGGTTACTGTTTGGGGTGACTACGGTCGCATCGAGGGGAAAAAAGTCTTTATGGGCGTGGCCCAAATAATGCTGGACGACATAAACCTCTCTAATATCGTTATTGGATGGTACAAACTATTTGGAACTACTTCTTTGGTAGGTAATATCGCAGTTTTTTTTTTTAAACAAACGTGCTACGGCAATAGCTTCACACGATTCCCACCGACAATAACGATTTTTAATTTTCAGTAACGAAAGCTGAATTATGTTCTTCAGCTGGAGCATAATTTTGGGGTATTGCGGAGAAATAACATCTACAAATTGTCCGAAATAAAATTTAGTGGTACTGCTTTAATCATAATAAAATGCAAAATATATTTGAATATAGGAAATTTTCTATAAGCGAAAGGTATTTAAATTGATTTGTATTATTTTTAAAAGCCTACCGAAGTTTTGATTAGATAGCATTTTATAGCAATGAAACAAGTGTATAGTGTACTCAATAATATGTAATTAATAATTAAAAGCCAAATTACATTTTATAGTTTTTCTTTCCATTAAACGAACCTTAAGCTTATTGCCACGATCGCTGTATCACTGTATCATTAATACGGTCCAATGTCTCAATAACACTTATTGTACTTCATACCATTTCCCAAAACATGACAACAAAACCATGTTGTGACAACGTCAGTGAAGCACGGTGGTAATTTTATGGTTTTAATTACAATTATCATTATTGCTCTTCTGCTCTCTATTTAGAACAAAATTAACATATTACTTTAACGCACACACACGGATATGTAAAAAACAATTTCATTATTTTCCTTCCTAAGTCAGTCGTCTCCTCATTAAGTCTATAATTTTAGGCACAGCTTCTTAAGTTTAATGTGTCGCGTTTGAAAAATATAACGCAACATATAATGTATTTAAAAATGAATGAAAAAAATCCCCCGGAAACATTTTAATATTTCCATTTAGAATTTTATTATATATGTATAGATATTGAGATTTCATTTCACTGAATGTTACAAGACGAATCGTCGATCAGAATGTTCAACTAACACTACGATGTAACGAATACTTCTTATGAACTTATCTATTAAAATTTGCGGGTAGTCTTAATCAATCAAAAATAAAATTTAATGTACTATTTGTTTAGGTTGCTTTGATGGGGACGCTCCCGGTAACCTTCCCTCTCCTGCTCTTTTCACACCAGTGGATTTAATATCTGCGAACAAGCATTAACGTACATTAAAAACATATTATTCAATTAATCCTTACACTGGATAGAAAATGTTGTACCTACCACTGGGTGACTGGATCCGTATCGCTATAATGCATGATAAATAAAACAAATTTGTATTTAATTTCGTACATGACATGTTCGTAGACATGCAAGCAATCTCTATGCTCTTCCGAACTTGGTTACAAGCATTACAATATAGATTTAAAAAAATATTTTATAATTTTTTATTATTACATTTATATACAATTCTTGTTCTACTTAAAATTTTCTTTAAATACACAATATACACGATGCATTTCAAATAAAAAGGGAGCCGCCTTCTTCGCCGATTTCGTTTACTTACTTAAAATGAAGATTCTTTATGTGGGAACTCGTCGATTACGTGATTCAGAGAATTTCGTAATTCAGATAATCTGGTAGACAATTATCTAGTAAACGTTGCTCATTGATAAATATAACGTGAATTAGTTCGACAACTATAAAATTATAAATACACGTTTGAAATAGTACAAACTAAAATCAATGTAATTTATTTTATATTTGCATGTCAATTTATACATATGTACTAATTAAATTTCAAAAAGAATTCTTCGCTGATAAAAAAAACCAGCCATGACAGGATACATTACAAACATAAACTCAACGAGCTCGTCTTTTTTGTGTATTATGTTAATCGAGGAAGGACCCGAAACAATATTACGTATGAAGCTTTAAATTTAATTTAATTTTTTTATTTTATTTATTTATTACACCACCTGGTGTTAAGTGGTTACCGGAGCCCATAGACACAACTACAACGTAAATGCCGCCACCCACTTTGAGACAAGAGCTCTAAGGTCTCAGTTGTAACAGCACGATGGCTGCCCCACCCTTCAAACCGAAACGCATTACTGCTTCACGGCAGAAATAGGCAGGTCGGTAGTACCTACCCGTGCGGACCCACAAGACGCCCTACCTCCAGTAATTAATGAATATTTTCCAGAATATTAAATGCTAAAACCGATAATGTAGTAACGCCAAGGAAAATTAAATATAGATACTAAATTCATACATTTGCATTAACTAATTTAATCAAATTTAAGAATTTATAGAACGCAAAGGACCAGTATTCAAAATACGAATAAATGTAATTGTCAATTTAAAAAAGTGAATACAAACAAGTTTAAATTATAATATTCGTAAGGTATAGAGATCAAGCATTGCTGCAGTCCCTGTTCTATTAAATTAGTTTTTGAAAGATAAAATGGAAATTAATTATAAAAACAAATACTTGTTATCTCCGCTATTTGCATCAATTCGAAGATAAGCATTTAATTAATTAAAAGATATTTGAGCACATATCCAAGACTAATGACAATAATATGAAATTAAATTTTTAATCGGCTTGTTATTAAAGCGTAGTTTTTAAGCTGTGTTTTTTTTTTAAATTATGAATATGTTTACATTTTAAATTTGGAAACATTCAAACAAGAAATTTTCAAACGTAATTATTTGTAAGTGGTATCGAGTAGAGATGAGAGAGAGGTACAGAGAAAATTTATTGCACGACAAAACACAATTTACATTAATAACCAGTCTTATCATTAAAGTGATCGCAACTTGTTAACCGCACAGCAAAATTCTGAAGGGCAATCTGTCGACTTTCACTTTCAGTTCAAAAATAGCCACCTCCACTATTATTGTTAATGTATTTTAGATACACAATAAAGCAAGATATCTGTGGCTAAAACGATCAGGATGATACTACAAACCTACACTGTTTCTAACACTGATAAGACAAAAAAAAAAAATTCACATAATCCAGGTTCAAATAAACCTACAAAATATTGCTAAACGACCACGGTATTCATTTCTGAATGAATGTTTATATTATATTTTTTTATTATAATATATTATTATTTACAAAATATATTTTTTTTAAATTACGATACTCATGATAAACACCCAGTTTTAAACTTATATATAGGTATATACCTAAGATATATTAAGATAATAATTAGATAAAGTCAATACATTTAATATTTTATAATACTAGAACAGTAATTAACGGCGGATTCAGTCCCTTTCGTATTTAAAACGCATTGCCGATACAATCGCATAGATTTTGACATTCACAAATCTGTGTACTTAGTGCTAGTTTTTTACTTCTCGATCGCGTAAAAGTTAACATCAATTTGTATGGAGTTTGCCGTTTGCCGCTAGGGGCGCTGTTTCAACTCCATACAAATTTGGGTTCACTTTTACGCGATCGAGAAGTAAAAAAAAACTCACACTAAGCACACTGTTCTCCACTAGTTTTGAACTTCAGGAAAAAGAAGCAAATTTAAATACTACAAAGTAAACGTTGCAAACAAAAATATGTTTTAAAAAATCTCCTGATCCACGACACCCGAATCCAGCTTTCGAGTCCTGCATATCACGGTTCTTTATTCTTAGGTGTCGCAATACCAGAGTACCAAACGGTATTCGGGTACTGTACGTGGCGGCTCGGCTTTTTCTCTAACGCACCCGCAGACTCGGGAACGATTTCGCCTCCGCGTTGTTTCCAAAGCGCTATGACAAGTTCTTCTTCAAACGATATGTAAAAAGTATATTACGGTAGGTGGCGGCCCGGCTTCGCGCCCGCGGCCTCACGGTGACCCCCCAGCATCCGACGGGCCGATCGACATTTTGTTTAACTTAACATTTAGAAGATGCTTGCATGCAAAATATTTGACTCGTCTCTCAATAATGTCAGTTCTTGCACGAATGGAACCTCCTTTAAGTTGTGGGTTCGATAACGCTATATTATAATGCGAGATCGAAAGAAATGTATTGATAGATGAATAATGAAGGTAAGGTGTTCAGGGTGAGAGGAGGGCGGGACGCGTACCGACCTTGCAGCCACCTGACTTGCGTGGCGGGGCCGTAGCCCTTCTCGTTGCGCGCGGCGATGCGGAAGATGATGGCGGGCTTGGTGGAGGAGTCCACGTGCGCCGCGCTCAGCGACGACTGCGGCACCACGCACGTGTTCGCCTTGCCGCAGTACACGCGCACGAACGCCAGCTGCGACTTCGCCGCTTCCTGCTCACACACGACGTTTTTTTTTAAGGGATTTTATGACCTGGTAACTAAGATCTTTAAGTCATGCCTTGTATTAATTTATATTCTTATTTTTATGAAAAATGATACTATGGAGTAAACTGAAACGAAATGAGATGAGATGAGGTGAGATGAGATGAGATGATATGGAATGAAATATAATCTCAGTAAAATGAGGGTCATTTACTGAGATTTTTTCAGTGGACTTTTTGGAGGATTCCGAGAAGTTACGTCCAGCAGCTTTGTTTCATTTTCCCACTTTTGTGCACTTTCACAGATATTAAACAGTTAATAAACCACCGTTATTACACATTTAAACCTGAAGAAGCACTAAATAGACAAAATAAAACAAATCACACAACTTCACTCCTCGCGTTCCCGCCAAAAGTCCATACACGATTTAGTTAGTGCTCAAGGACCCCATACAAAACGATCCGTCGTTTCAAACAGATCGAAGATCGAAACGACGGATTGGAACTTTCCGTATATAGGGTCCTTCAATCAGACAACAACGGACATATTGTTATATTGCCTTCGAAGGCACGATGCTCACGCGACAAATTCATCTTTGAACGAACATGATCACAATCTCTTGTGGATATCGGCAATGCCAAAGATCTACTAATGAGTTTCTTGAAGGACACCTCATTCGAATAAATTCCGAAGAATTTTGTTCTTGATCTGAATGAAACATAGTACAAATCAATCAAGGGCGCTTACTACTACACCACATAGTCTGTCAAATATATACATTACATACATAAAATATTTTTTATGTATCTCAGGAATGTGGACAAGATAGGACTATTATCACAAATTACATTATTATTTTAGCAACGTTTCGGTCTTTTATTAGACCTTCATCAGGCATCTGAAAATTACACATAATTGATAACCTACAATACAAAAAACAACAAATTGTCGAAACTACCATATTTACCATAATATGAATTTAAATAATCCCTATCTTACACTGCACAATTGTCTCAGACATCAGAGACTAATACAAATCTACAAAGCCGCTAAATTATTTAATTACTATTTTTGATTCCGGAAACAAAGCCAACACGACACATAAAATTGCTAATTGCGTGACAAAGGTTAGCCCACTATTGAAACTTCAGTACATAGACTATACTTTACAATATTTTATACTAGCGCCAACCTCGCTAAGTATCAAATTCAAATATATCTGAAATGAAGGTTATT